AGCAACATATGATAAATGCCATGAAAATGGTTTTAAAATATTTTGTAGCATTCAGAGGTAGGGAAAAGTAATTTGCAACTGAAATAATGACAGTATGATTTATGGATAAGGTAGTATTTCAACCAGGCCTTTAAAAGATGGGTACGCTTGGAGGGAAGAGAAATCTTCTTACTTATGGTTTTAATTTATTAGTTACTCTTTCTAGGATTGTTTATATCTCACAAATAGCCAAGTCATAGGTCTTGGACCAGTCTTTAACCTTTAGTATCTCAAGATTGTGTGAAAAGTAACATTAAAATTAAATTTGGTCATAACGGTTTTTGTGAGGAGATTTTGTGATGTTCCTTTAACAAAAATTATTAGAAAGCAATTACCCCTGCAGACGTAGTCAGCTGGGGGAAGGGGCCATAGACTTGCCCAGATGGCCAGAGGACTTCATGACACATCAGTGGTTAAGAAGCTCCGCTGTTGTAGATCATTAGACTTAGAGCTACAAAGTACTAGAGAATTAATAACAGATGTTCAGCCTGGCACGGGGATAATAGTGCTGGATTTGGGGTTAGAGGATCTGGATGTGAATCCTTGCTCTGCCATTTATTCCCTGTTGACTTCTTTAAGGTTCTTTCCGTCTCTATGGAAAAAAATCAATGATCCTAGGAATAATAAGCTAACATTTACTTAACACTTTAACTTACGTGAATGAATGCACATGAAATGAGCAAAACAGGAAAACATACTATACAGTAACAGCAACATTGTGCGATGATCAACTATGATTGACTCAGCTTTTCTCAGCAATCCAGTGATCCAAGACATATCCAAAAGATTCATTATGGAAAATGCTGTCCATATCTAAAGAAAGAGCTGATGGAATCTGAATGTAGATTGAAACATACTATTTTCATTTTTGTGTGTGTAGTTTTTTTTTTCCCTTTTGCATACTGTAATTGTTTTGCAAACTGTTTCTTCTTTCACAACATGACTAATATGGACACAGGTTTACATGATTCTACATATATAATTGATAGCGAATTGCTTTCTGTCTTAGAGGGGAAGGGAGGAAGAAAATTTGAAATTCAAAATTTTGTAAAAAATTAATGTTAACTATTGTCTTTGCATGTAATTAGAAAAAATAAAATACTATTTAAAAATACTTTTAAGATTTACACAAATTTTGTATTCATTAACTCATTTGCTGAAACTTTTTCATTTTACAAATAAAAAAATCACTGTCCAGAAGTATAAAATGATTTACCTAAGGTTGAAGAGGTATCAGTAGCAGAGTTGGAATTCCCAGATTATCACTTTGACAGTCATAACCATATTTGCACTGTGATTACATGTTTTATCCCTGTTTTGTCACTTCAAGAAAGAATGGTAAATTTATCCCAAACTCATGGTTAATACACCAGAAATGCACCCTTAGACTTTCCCTACTTTCTCTTGATCTCTGCATGTGCCTGTGAATCTCTATTGTGTATTTTTCTTTCTCTTCCTTAATAGCCCCACAATGTCCTGACTCCTCCACAATATTATTTCAGAGCCTCTTTACATCATTGAGAAAAACACACATGGAATTGTAGTGAAATTAAAAGGTTTTATTTGAAATTTTATAAACTAAAATGTTACAATAATAGCTACTTTAAATATTGGTCACTCTATGTCAGTTTGATTCACATTGAAAAACAATCTTCTGTTATGGGATGCCATAGCAGTGCTGTGGTATTTGATATTAATAAAATCAAAAGGCCATGCAACTTTTACTTAGGCACATTTAAAGATACATCTTTTTCTACTTAAATTGGGATGTGGCCATTATATATAAGTGACATTATACGTAAGTTAGGGAGGAATAGTCTTTGTTTTATACTCAAATGGCTGCTGCAAAAAATGACCTTGTAGGGTATGTGTTCCAGTAATGTTGCTGCTTTTATGTCTTTATCTTGACTTGTTAACTGAGCAGCTTTTCCACCTATTTCTGGCTGCCTTCCTTAGAACTCTGTGATCTATGTTGTAGTGATATACAGTGATAACTGTGGTACAAGAAACATAGCCTTAGACAAAATAGTGGAAGCAAATAGTCTTGAATGATTTCAGCAACATTTTCCTTATCTAATTGTTGGGTTATGCAAGAAACTATACATTTATTGATGACGATGAGTGTGAAGATTTGGAAACTGTAAATAAAAGAATACCTTCAATTCAAAAATTGTCATATGTAGCTTCCTGAAGAATATAATCCCTGTCTTTATGGGAAGGGAGGTGGCACATAGATGGATAATTTAGAGGAAGTGCTGGTTCTAAAAAATCACTTTAATCTGTTGCACTTTCATAAAAATGTAGAGCCTAGGTTTTTTTTTTTACTTATAGACAGCTCATTATGTTAATTAATGTGTAGCTCAGCACAAATAATTTATGCTTTTAATAACTGTCATGATTAAAATTTTTTACCTAGTCTAGAATCACTGTTTAGTATACTGTAATTGTGTTTCCCCCCATGATTTCTAAATCCCCAAATTTCCACCCAAGTCTTTTATTTTGGTTTTGCCTAGTTGCTTCCAGAAATGAAATCTTTTCACATGTAAGCACCTTTTCTCTTATCTAGACTTAGTATTAGAATTTAATATTCACAATCAGATACAAAATTCTCTTCAAAAAAATAAAGAACTTAAATAGCCTGAATTCAGTGCTGTGCAATGCCAATATCATAAAAATGGCAATATATCAGCATTAATTTACAGATTTAATACTATACATTCAGACTACCCATGGAATACTTTATAGAGCCAGGAAAAAATAACAGTTTATTTGAAAGAACAAAATGTATAGAGTAGGGAGAAAATAATGAAAAAAAAGAATGAAGAGGGAATACTACTAAAAAGCAGCAATCTTCAAAACATAAATTTACTTAGGAAAAAGCTCCTAATTTGATGCAAACAGCTGGAAAAACTGAAAAGCAGGGGCAGCTAGGTGGCACAATGGTTAGAGCTCTGGCCTTGGAATCAGGAGGACCTGAGTTCAAATGCGGCCTCAGGCACTTGACACTTGCTAGCTGTGTGACCCTGGACAAGTTACTTAACCCCAATGGCCTCATCAAAAAGCAAAAAAAAACAACAACAACAACAAAAAAACACCAACCAAAAAACCAAAAACAAAAAACTGGAAAGCAACCTGGCAGAAATACACACACACACACACACACACACACACACACACACACACACACACACACTCACTCTCTCTCTCTCTCTCTCACACACGCGCGTGCTTATTTGTTTGTTTGTTTTGTTTTTAGTTTTTAGCATTCACTTCCATAAGGTTTTGAGTTTAAAATTTTCTTCCCCTATCTTTCCTCTCCCCTCCCCAAGATGGTACACAATCTGATATAGGTCCTACTTACACATTCATATTAAACATTTTCACATTAGTCATGATGTAAAGAAGAATTAAAACTAATGGGGGGAACCATGAGAAAGAAGAAATAAAACAACTAAAGAAAAGGAGAGCAAATGGTATGCTTCCATCTGCATTCAGACTCCAAAGTTCTTTCTGTGGATTTGGATAACATTTTCCATTGTGAGCCCTTTGGAGTTGTTTTAGATCCTTGCATTGCTGAGAAGAGCTAAGTCTGTCAAAGTCAGTCATCCCACAAAATGGCTGTTACTGTGTACAATGTTCTCCTGCTTCTGCTCATTTCACATAGCATCAGTTCATATAAGTCTTTCCATGTTTTCTGAAGCCTGATCATTATATAGCACAGTAACATTCCTTTACATTCATATACCACATCTTGTTCAGCCATTCCCCCATTGATGGGCATCCCCTCAATTTCCAATTCCTTTCCACAACAGAAAGAGCTGCTATAAATATTTTTGTACATGTGGATCCTTCTCCCATTTTTATGATCTCTTTGGGATATATCCCTAGAAGTGCTATTGCTGGGTCAAAGGGTATGCACAGTTTTATAGCCCTTTAGGCATGGTTCCAAATTGCTGTCGAAAATGGTTGGATCGGGGCAGCTAGGTGGCACAGTGGATAGAACACTGGCCCTGGATTCAGGAGGACCCGAGTTCAAATGTGGCCTCACATACATAACACTTACTAGCTGTGTGACCTTGGGCAAGTCACTTAACCCCATTGCCTAGCCAATAAATGAATGAATGAATGAATGAATGAATAATTAAATAAATGAATAAATAAATGGGTTAATTAAATAAAAATGAAAATGGTTGGATCACTTCACAACTCTAGCAACAATGCATTAGTGTTCCAGTTTTCCTACATCTTCTGCATTTATCCTTCTCCTGTTTTGTCATGTTAGCCAATCTGATAGGTGTGATGTGGTACCTCAGAGTTGTTTTGATTTGCATTTCCGTAATCAATAGTGATTTAGAGCATTTTTCATATGACTATAGTTAGCTTTTATTTCTTCCTCTGAAAACTGCCTGTTTATCATATCCTTTGACCATTTATCAATTAGGGAATGACTTGTATTCTTAGAAATTTGACTCAGTTCTCAGTTATTATTTGGGTATGCATTTACAAGACTTCGAACTTCATTAGGGCAGAGAATTGTCTGTAATGTAATCTTTGTGCCTTTTTCAAGCACCTAACAGTACTGTGCACTCAGAAGTAGCCACTTGATAAATATTTGAGTTCTGTTGAATCACATTTTCTTTGTCTCCAGTTCTTCATAGTCTCATGCCATATTTGATTATTCAGTACAGGACTTCTAGGTAAAATGTGCTTCTGTGAAATATGCTGTTTATAAATCTTACTACAAGATTGTATTCACTCAATGAAGCTAAGATTAGAAAAGTTCTACTAGAGTAATTAATACCTTTTTGTTTCAGAAATTAGGAGATAGAAAGTTTGTATTTCAGCTTTTAAAAATCTAGTAGTGTCCCCCCCAAATGAAGAAAGTTATGATTATTCCTTTTAATATATTCTTTTTTGATTCATATGTGCGTATGTCATGTATGTCTTTTATTTAACCCTAGGAAATTGCTGATAAAGATGGAAACAATAAAGTGCTATCTTTCACCATCCCTTCTTTATCCAAGCCTTCAATATATCATGAGGTGAGTAAGAGTAAGAATAATTAGGTTATATAGGTGGAAATAAAAATCAAATTTCATTTGATGCCAGAGATGAACATTGTTACATACATATTGTTAAAATGCATTGTTACTTGCATCTTGGTACTGAACAACTTAAATTAAAAGCTTGCAATTGGACATTATAATGCATAGGAGCAAGAAAGGTGTCCTGAAAATAATATAAATTTACCAGTTAGATTTTTGTTCGTTTTTATTCTTTTGGTTCATCCTTTCAGGGTAGTTCTTTTTAAAAACGTGTACTTCACATTTTTGTATTTGAAGGGAAGAGTTCAATTTTGAGAATTTTTTTTTTTGAGTGGAAGGAGGAAGCTGTATTTTTCTAAATGAATTTTTATTGATACCTTTTGTTTTACATCACTTGAGAATCCTTCTTTGCTTTTGCTTCCCTTTTTCTCCCCTTCCCCCTTTATTTCCTTAGAAAAATGGTAGTGATTATAAATGCTGGTTTTCACTTTAAAAGAATCTGTTTTAGCCTTCAAAAAAAAAAAAGAAGATAAAAGGCCAGAAAAGAAGGCACAGATAAGCAGGACAGCTTTGAAAGCTGTGTTGAATTAATTATATACTTTTTAAAAATCAAGTTATACATAATAGATAGTTTCATGATGAATAGTCCTCTGTTCTATAATATATTTGAATATTCTCATTTTATTTGTTGTTTATTAAGTTCAGAATAAAAAAAGCTCTTCAGTGTGATCTAGTCCTTTGGTAATATTCTTTATTTCTAAGAAAGCATAATAGGTCAGCAATTTATTGTCATTAATGTCACTGAAGGGTAATGGAGTACTAATAAATTGTAAGAGAATTTTGTTTTGTTGGTGACTCTTCCTGTCGTTCTACCACTGTTGAAAAAACAAAATAATAAACTAAAATGTGTTTTGAATCCAGTTCCTGATTTATAGTAGGATGTGAGTGGACCTCACATTTAAAGATTTGAAGATTAAACTTTTTCCAGTAGTTTCAAATTGTATTCTTTTTATCTTAGAAACTCATCAAGGAGGTATCCAAATATTATAAAAAGAAAACTTTCAAATAAATGGTTCTTGACACATAGTTAAGGACTTGGTTAATTATTTCTTTTGTTAGTAAAGACTGGCTTTTTAAAATCAAGTATTTCTGAGATATAGATTTTAATTAAATTATGGAGGTTAGTGAGGTATACATTAATAAATGATAGGTGTAACTGAAAATATGAAATCAACTGTTGAAATAGTTTAACTTGGAGAGAAATATGATGGTGGGCCTAGTATTCTTTTTAAAGGTTGCTTATCTGTGTGATGTACACTTCAGTTGTTTCTTTATATTTTGGAGCTCAAAAAGTATTACTTTGAATCAAAACTATAACTGATGCATCCTTATTTTGGTAGTTTCAATAGTTTTTCTTGCTTTAATCACTGGGGTTCTATGAACTTGTTTTAAAAAATATTTTTGGTAACTATATTTCCTTGTAATTGGTTTCCTTTGTAATTCTAAGTATTTTGTGCATATGTGTGTGTATTTAAAAAAACCATTCCAAGAAGAAGTCCATAAGTTTTGCCACATTGCCAAAGATCTCCATGACACAAAAAAGGTTAAGAACCACTCTTCTAACAAGTTTGAGTCATTCCTGGCGTATTCCAAAAATTGAAGCTGTAATTTTTTTTAAAAATTGTAGGTGTTTTATTTTTTGAAATGTCTTTTCAAAGAAGAATTGTAGAATTTATATATGAAAGAAAATAGAGGATAGAAGTGATGCTTTTACAGTCACACAAAGTTAATGTTTGGCAAATTGTTATGGATGCCTTCTTATATTTTGGTTTTTTTCTCCTTTCTCTAATGTATGCTTCATTATAAATTGTCTTTTTTTTTTTGATAGCCCTCAACTATTGGATCCATGGCCTTGACAGAGGGAGCATTGAGTCAACATGACCTCATTAGGGTAGTTTATAGTGATCTTCATCCTCAGAGGGAAACGTTTACTGCACAAAACAGGTAATAGTTTAAGCTATCTTGCCAAATCTCTACTTAATATAATTCTTCATTTCCTGGACTGAAATAATTAAAATTGAATCTGATATGTCAGGGACTTCAAAAGTTAAATATTTCTTACAAATAGTTCTTTTATCAGACTAACTCATGTAGAGTGGGGCAATATAGAAAAATTATTATGTAGTTATAAGTCTAAGAGTACAATATCACTATATTATAGCTGCCATCATTTAGTCTATAAAATATTTGTTGTTCTTAATAAAACAGAGTCCTGTTTTTGAAGTTTGGGAGTACCAGGTACTCAGGAGGTGGCATTTCAGAGGAGACATAGGTCAAGTCCAGTAAATTCAACAAGCATCTATTAAACACCTGTCATGTGTAAGGCACCTTACCAGTTGCAAGGGATATAAATATAAAAATAATGTAGTCTCTGCCTTCAAGATGCTCCATTCATGCTTCCCAAATCATCAACGCTATGATATGGCTCTTTGAGAGCTCCTTTGGCTCTGCATTTGCTGACAGTGGTTCTCCCTTGAGTGTGCTATGGCTTCTTAGGTACTTCCACCTCACAATTTTTCCCCGATATAATAATACAGAGGCTTTCTGTAGCCCCATCATTTGTATAGGGTCTGTGCTTTAGGATTAGTCTCCAGGGTGCTATATGAAACTTGGGAAGAAATAAACTCAGGCTAACATTAGTTTGATTACGGTGTATATTGAAATAAAAATACCAAAATATGTAGGAGACCTAATAAGGGTGAAACAAAAAGACAATGTTGAAGTTATTTTCCACATCGTTGGTGGTAGCCACAAGGGTAAATTATTTAATAAAATTTTTTCTTAGGAATGTTATTTTAAGGGGAGTTGCCAAAAACAAAAAGAAAGAAGAGGTCATTGAAACATTTTTTTAATGCACAGAAGAAAAAAGGAAAGAAAAAAATACAGACATGCTGAAAAGTTCTAAAAGCTTTGTACTGAATTATATTACATCCTTAAAAGAGAAAGCAGGCTATGCACATAATAGAGATTTATGGATTTATGTACAGTTCTCTTTTCTGCTTTGTATAAGGAAATGCTCATTTTATTTTGTGTTAAGTTCAGAATTTTTATTCAGAAAAAATATTGTAAGCATTCTTCTTTATATTCTTTTGTTTTCGTTAGGTTTGAGGTCCTGAGTTTTCTTATGCTCTGCTACAACTCAGCTATTGTTTATATGCCTGCCTCCTCTTATCAGGCACTGTGCCGCATGGGTTCCAGGTGAGCAGTACCAAAAATTGATCACTAACCTTTATGTACTAGAAGTATTTCTTACTCCCTCCATTGATCACTATACCCTCTTCAGTTTTTTCAGAAGTAGAAATGTTGCCAAGCTGTGTAACAAATTAAAAGTCAGAGATCTAATTCTTCCTAATGGGTAATTTAATAATGTACCTAATTACCCCAGGGCAGCTAGGTGGCACAGTCTATAGAGCACTAGACTTGGAATCAGGAAGACTCATCTTCATGAGCTCAAATCCAGCCTCAGACACTTAATAGCTGTGTGATCCTGGGCAAGTCAGTTAACCCTGTTTACCTCATTTGCCTCATCTGTAAAATGAACTGGAAAAGGAAATGGCAAAACCACTCCTGTGTCTTTGCTAAGAAAACCCTAAATGGGGTCACAGAGAGTTGAACAGGACTGAAATAACTCAACAACAAAAATCCATAGATGGCAGTTTATAAACCATTTTGAGGGTATAAATTGTTTCAGGAGATTTGGAATTTCTGTGTGCCTACCTCAATTTTTTCCCTTTTAACTTAATAATAATAATAGCAGCTGGGGGCAGTTAGGTGGCTCAGTGGATAGAGCACCAGCCTTGGAGTCAAGAGGACCTGAGTTCAAATCCAGTCTCAGACAATATAACACTCACTAGCAAGTCATTTAACCCCAACTGCCTCACCAAAAAAAAATAATAATAATAATAATAATAGCAGCTTCCATTTATGTAATCCTTTATGGTTACAAATCATTTTGTATTATTATCTCATTTGATCATGAAAAATTGCTTTCTGAGTTAGTACACATATTGTTATGCTCCTTTTACAACTGTTTAAATGACTTATCTAAAGCTAAACATCAGGTAAGTGTTGCTGTTGAGGCTCATACCTCTTCTTATTTTGAAACCTGTGTTCCCCCCACTTTTTTTTTTAATTCCCTGACCTGGCTTCTGATTTCATTGGTGTAGGGAACTATTGGTGAGGAAATTTCACATTTGTGCTGCAATTTGTAGTCTAAAAATTGTCTGGAGTACTGTGGGGTTAAATTATTTGGCCAAGATCACTTAGTCAGTATATGTGAGAAGCTGCACTTGAACCCAGATCTTCCACTTAAAGACCATCTATCAGTCCATGTCACCACTCCATTCTCTTGAAACTGTGTATTTCAGAAGGGGAAGGGAATAAGAAGAGGGGGGAGAGTGATAGAAGGGAGGGCAAATTGAGGGAAGAGGTAATCAGAATGCATGCCATCATGTGATGGGGGGAGGGGAGAAATGGGGAGAAAATTTGGAACTCAAAATCTAGTGAAAGTGAATGTTGAAAGCTAAAAATAAATAAAAATTTAAAAAAAGAAACTGTATTTTTCTGTTTATTCCTCTTAGTTTTTAAACCAATTTATTCAGAATTCTTGCTCATTGTAAAGGCCTAGACTGAGATTCAATTTTGCATTATGAAAAAGAAGTATTTGCTGAGGTGGGATGCTAAGAGAATAAACTTGTCAGGTATTCAGTACTTATTTGTAAAGTTATGCTAGTTATAGACAATCATCTGTTTAAATTAATTCTGTTAGGATTTATGTTTTGCAATGCTGTTAGCTATTAACTTGTTCTGTTATGAGTACTTAAAAGTAGTTCAACTGCATTTCTTGACCTTCTGTAATTTAGTATTTTTATTGATAAGACTCCCTCCTTGCTTGTCTGAACCAGTGATACTGTTCAACTTATTACATTCTCATTATTCATGGCCTATATTAGGTTCTCTAAGATTTACAAAGTTTAGGTAAAATATGTGAATCTGGCAACTATCGCAAAATAACAAAAATATTCCTTTCATACATATCTCCCAATAATCAGATTTTCTAGGGATGGTAAATAATAAAATAAGTCTTAAATTTTTTATTTTATAATTATGTTTTCTTAGTTATATAGTATTGTAATATAGATAACATTATATTATTAAAATTTAATAAAACATCTCATAAGTCTTTTGGCACATTCCTCATTGCTTTCTTGTAGTGCAGTCCAAAAAAGATACTCACTATTCTCTGGAACATATTCTAAAATAGAAACTACTAAGTGAGAACTTGGTCTATGATTCTTTGATTCACTGTTGACTCTATTATCACAAAACCACTGTTTCCCAGAATACATTTGGATCTACACTTGTATCTCACAATCTTCCAACCATCCATCTAGCACCTTCAACCACGTTTTATGAAAGTATACCTAACCTTTCTGTTGTTTTCTAGATTACTAAATTCTGTAATAGAACAACAAATTAGCAGTCAAATGTTAATTTTCCTCATATTGATATTCTCTGTTGTTATGCAAAACAAATTATCCTTTTAAAACTTTTAGTGAGACTCTCTCTGACTTTACATAATTTAGCCTTTTATTGCTAGGAAGGCAACTGTGGAAAAAGAGCTAGCCCAAATATCCCAGAAACCTGAGTTCAAGTTCTACCTTGATATTTATTCTCATCTAGCTGAAGCTGAAAGAAAAAGAAACTTTTAAACTAAAATAAGTTCCTGCCTATGGAAGATATAAACCAGTAGTTATATAGAAAACCCAGCTCTGCTTCAGATTGGTTCTCTGCATTAATCAGAAATTTGATACATTTGTATTCTTAGCATGGAGTAACAATGTTAAGAATGGGAAAGAAATGAGAGGTGTTAAGCAGTCAAAACATTTACAGTTTTGGGGGGGTTTTTTTTGTTGTTGTTATTCTGTTTGAAGTTTTATGATCTTCCAGATACACAGGTATTTAAATACCAAAATATTATCTGAGGTTAAATATTCCTTTTTTTTCTTTTGAGTCCACTGAATATAACTGAGTGTTTTCTGGTTGTTTTTTATTTTTTTAAATATGTATTGCTTCAGCAAGTTTAGCTTTGATTATTTATTACCAGTAGTTTCATTTAGATAAGGTCATTAACAACTGAGCTTAGGAAGAGACTGACCAATTACATATCACCGTCTGCCAGCACAACTCTATTATTACTGGCCTTTTTTGAGGAACTGTTTCAGTTGGCAAAGCTGCTATAATGCCTACCCCTTTCAGGTTACCTTCTACCTACTCTATATATCTTGTTTGTGCCTAGTTATTTACATGTTGTTTCCCTTGTTAGAATGTTATGCTCCTTATCCAGCCTCAGACACATAACACTCACTAGTTGTGTGACTCTGGGCAAGTCACTTAACCCCAATTGCCTCACTAAAAAAAAAAAAAAGAATGTATGCTCCTTGAGGGTAGGGTCTGTTTTTTGCCCTTTTTGGTATCCCTAGTACTTAGCAATATTTTTTGTTTCTCTGATACATAGTAAACACTTAATAAATGTTTTTTGGCTAAGAGAAGAATATCAGGGCTACTGTAGCACATCTCCAAGTAGTTAATCAATTCAGTATTTGTAACACTAGGAAATCTTAATTTAAACTTTATCTACCACTAAGACTTTAGGAGACAAGTGATAGATGTGAACTATTTGTTTCTGTCTGATTAATGTGTGTTTAAATGTGGAGTGTGTAACATCATTATTTTACTAGGGTCTGCTGCTGATCCTGATAGTTCTAAACTGGTAGAAATAGTGCGTGACTGTTTAGATTACTAAAGTGGCAACTACACATACAAATTCAAATTTCAATTTGGTACTTTTACTTAAGTCCATAGGAATTAGAAAAATAATACTTAATAAATGTTGTTAAAGTTTTGGATGAATTTAGAAACATTTTATTTTTGTTTGGATAATGATAATAATATCTCTTAGGAAAGGGTATTTTGGGAAAGTAGTTTACTAGTCTTCTCCTAAATAGAATTTTAAGACTATCTTACTTATTGGGAAGCATTAAAAAAAAATAACCCTTTATTGTCCTAGCTTTTTTGCTACACAGTAACGTTTGAGATTATGCCTCAGATGGAATTGTTAAAAACTATACCTGTTTTAAAGCTGTATTTTTAATTTTGCAACTTATAAAAATGGGTCATTTTTAAATGGCCCACCTAACATTCAACAAAATGTTGCTATAAATAATCCACTTTAACTTCTCAGTGTTCAATTTCATTTGCAGTTTACTGTTTATTTCCAGGTAATTGTACAAAATGGTCATGAACTAAGATTGAACATGTATAGAGTTTGGAATTGTTCATACAAGTTTTTTGAGATCTAGTAGTAAAAAAAATCATGAAATACAACTTTAAGGAAATTTGGAAATTCTCAGAATTTGCCTTTTGTATCCATCACCTGCATTTCCAGCTTAGCTTTCCAACATTTAATTTGGTGATAACATTTTTTATCGAAAGAGTGCTTTAAGTACCTAAGTTAGTTACTGTGTTAAATTTAATTCATGGGCAAATAAAGTCAAGTAGTTACTTTAATGCCTCAAGAGGTCATACAAGGTAAACACTATCTTCTAGGCTTTGCGTGAGTGGGTTTCCACGGCAGAATGAAAAGCACTGGAAAGAACCTTGTGGCCGAGTAGTATTGGATCCTGAATTTATGGTGCAGCTTCTAACAGGTGTCTATTATGCCATGTAAGTATCTGGAATTTGAAATTAAATGGTTTCTTACTGGTCCTTGGAAAATTTTAATGTTTTTCTTTCCTTGTGTTGACATGTTCTTTGTTTCATGGTACATCAATTATCTTGTCTCCCTGATTTTAGTAATTCATTCTTTTAGTTATGGGATGCTTTGAGAGTAGCTAAAAAGCAGTTTAATGATTAGAATTGACAGTTGGAGAATGGCAGTTCCTCTTTATAAGAAACTGTTAGTATACACCTGTACTAAGGATTATCATAACCTAGGTTACCTTGAATGTCATGCAGTAGTCAGCCACTGTACCAGTTTATACCCTCGTCCACCAGAAACCTTTATATAAGGAAGCATTAGCATTTAACTCTTGACTTATATTTTCCTTGACTTATAACCTGAAGTGAAATGTCTTGGGTTGAAACTTTTAAAAAATTTACTTAGATTCATGTAATATTGTAAAATGGATACTTTGTTTCCTTGGTAGATATAATGGACAGTGGGATCTTGGCCAAGAAGTACTGGACGACATTATTTACAGAGCTCAGCTAGAACTTTTTTCTCAACCACTACTGGTAAGGCACAAGTTATCGGACATGGGAACTGTATGGCACTCAGTAATCTTTATATAAACAATTTATACAGCATGAGATTGACCTGTGGGTTTTTAAGCTATGATGTTTGATGCTAATGATCATTATTGTCCAAAATTTCTTTTCCTGATCTTTTGGTTTTGTGTTTAAGCTGAAGCAGTTTAAATATGGTGAGGTTAAAGTATCAAGGAATATATCAGGGACAAATGGTGTAGTGCAAATCATGCTGGACTTGGAGAAGGAGACCTGGGTTTCAACTCAGGATACCTAAAAGCTCTTGTGACAATTAGAAAGTCACTTTGCTAAGCTGAGTCTCAGGTTCTTGGGAAAAATAAGACTTGCACTGCTTGCTTCACAGGGTGGTTGTGAGAAAAGTTCATTGTAAACCATAAAAAGCTATATGAATAAATGCAAGTTATTATTTGGTCAGAGTCAAGAAACATTTATTAATATGCCAGGCACTGAACTAAGCAATGGAGATAGAAAGAAAGGCATAAGATAGTTCCTTCCCTAAAGCATTCTCATTCAGATTGGAGAGAAAACACAGAAAAGGTTAGGATGGGAGGGCAGTGAGGAGGTATGATGAAATCACACATTCAAGGTGAAAGAAGGAGTGAGTTTCCATTACCTTTGAAAATTAGAATAAACTGAGAGACAACAGTCTCAGCATGATCAGTTTTTTAGTTAGGCTATCAGTAACCATTAAATTGGGGTTTGGGCCTCTCAATAACCAGAGACCATGAAGTTAAGGCCTGCTAGTCTTCATATAGTTTTGGGAAGTACCAGAGAACAAAGAACAGAGTTGGGTAGGTGGGGAAAACAATGTGATTGGCTACAGAGTAGACAGCCTCATGGGGGGTGGGGACAACATGATTGGTTGGAAATTGGGAATGGGGCTAGGCCCCTCTTCTTCCCTTCTTTGACTAAGAAATGTTCAGTGTTTGAGTCTACCTGCAAAGTTAGAGATAGACCAGACATCTTTGGATAACAAACCAGACATCCTTGAATTGTGGTTTCGTGGTGTAAAGCTACTAGATCATACTCTGGTGTCCACCTGCCTTCTTCAAGAGTAACAGATTTCCCTGAGGCAAGAATAGAACAGTGATTAGCAAGAGAACTGAACTTATAGGCAAAGAGACAAAGAAATGTGGCTTGAGCAATCATACAAAATGGGACAACAGTACAGAATAAATAGGATCAATTACAGAATAGAATCAATTATAAAATGATACAGAATCAGTTTAACTTCTTCAGTTTCTGAGTAGATTTCATCTTTCAGAATGATGAGTTTCTGGAGGTGATGAAGTCCAGGAAAGTAGCCAGGTAGGAAACGATGTGGTGTCATCTTAAACAGTAGCAAAACTAGGAGGAGCTCTCCAATGTCCATCTTCCACCCTCTCCAATCAGAGCAAGGGAGGAGCTCTACTCATAATTTTCTAATCTCAACACCTCTAAATTTATGTCAGGATAATAGTAAATGGTAACTATTTGGAAAAAAACAGTACTAACATTAATACCTTGTATTTGCAGAACTCTTTTAATGATATCATTTTATCATTAAAATCACTTTGTGATTCAGTCAGGTCACAGACATTTATTAAGTGCCTAAAAGTGTGCTAGGTATTAGGGATATAATGACAAAAATAAAAATAGTTTTTCTCAAGAAGCATTTGTTTTATTTGAGGGGACAATGTGCATACATAAATTTGTACAAAATAAATACAAAGCAATTTAGGAAGGAAAGGCACTAACAGGAAATCAGGACAAGCTTCATATAAAAGATAATGTTTAAGTGGAGTCTTAAAGAAACTAATGGATTCTTTGAGGAGGGAAAACATTCCAGGAATGGGGAAAGACCAGTACAAAGGCATGGATACAGGAAATGAAATGTCATGGGTGAGAAATAATGTCTGAGGTGGAATGTTAGGTTGGCACCAGGTTGTGAAGAGCCAGGAGTAGCTTATATTTGATCCTATAAACAAAAGGAAACACTATAATATCTTAATGAGTAGGGGTGTGACATAGTTGGACCTTTGCTTGAGGAAAGTCAGGAGAATTTTGAAGCAAGGAGACAAATTGAAGTCGTTGCCATAGTCCCTAGATTTGGGTGTTGAGGACTTGAACAAAAGTAGTGGTTGTGTGAGTAGTGAAAAGAGGATGGTGTGAAATATTGTGGCGGTAGCAATGGCAACATTTGGCACCTGATTAGATATGTAGAGTGAAGGAGAGTAAGGAATCTAAGATTACACTGAGGTTACAGACCTAAGAGACTGGAATGATAGATGTTGATAACTTTAACAGAAATAAATACGTGAGATAGCTAGTTAGATTTGAAGGAAGAGATAATGAAATCTGTTTTGAGTTTTGAGGTGTTAGTGGGGCATCGTATTTGAAATGTCCATTGGGCAGCTGCCTAACTAGAGTTCAGGAGCATAAAACTGTGGCAGAATTTGGAACTCCTCTGCATAGAAATGATGAATAAATATATGAGAGCTGCTGAGGTCATCAAGTGAGAATGTAGAGAGGACGAGGGCTCAAGACAGAATCTTTATAGTACATCAGCAAGTAGGGGGTATGATATAGATAGAGACTAAAAGGGAACAGTCAGGTAAAAGATGAACCAGCTGAGAATAATGTGTAAAACAAACAACAGACTTCAGAGAAGCCAAACTTGCTTGTATTTGAGTACATTTTCTAGTTAAAAAAAAAAAGCCAAGAAGCTTTTCATATAGCAAATTATTTTCTCCAGTAAATTCTATTCTGTGTGTTTTGAGGTCTTTTCTCTACATCTGCAATTGGTCATCTGTATGTTGGTACATAAAGTATACAGCCCAATTGATTTTACTCATTTTTAGCCCTTTGGATTACGGTAAAGTAAAAATTAGTAGAACAAAAAGCATATTTTGAAGGTAATCTTTCCACTGCTTTTGAACCTTGTTCACTTAGCCACAGCCTCTATTAGGATGTTTGGGTGTTTTTAGTATGTTGGAATGGCAGTCAGAATTTTTAAGCTATTGTCAAGACTACTCACTAATAGAGATAGGATTACAACCAAGAATCACCTACCCAGCAAAACTGAGTATAATCCTTCAGGGGAAAAATGGTCATTCAGTGAAATAGAGACTTTCAAGCGTTCTTGATGAAAAGACCAGAGCTGAATAGAAAATGTGACTTTCAAATACAGGATTCAAGTGGAACATGAAGAGGTAAACAGGAAAGAGAAATCATAAGAGACTTATTAAGATTGAACTGTTTACATTCCTGCATGGAAAGATGATATTTAGAACTGATGAGACCTCTGTCAGCATGAGGGTAGTTGGAGTAAAAAAATTATATGTATGTATATGTAGATAGATAAATAGAGGGCACAGGGGTGAGCTGAAGATTAAGGGGTCATATCTGGAGAATAAAAATAAGGGATGACACAGGATTATACTCAGAGAAGAAGAAAGGGAGAGGTAAAATGGGGTAAATTATCTCACAAAAAAAAAAAACAGAAAAGAAAAGTCTCTTACAGTGGAGGGGAAACAGGGGAAGATGAGAGGGAATGAATGAATCTTATTCTCATAGATTTGGCTTAAGGAGGGAATAACATACACATTCAATTTGGTATGGAAATCTGTCTCACCCTACAGGAAAATAGGGGGAGAAGGAGACAAGAGATCAGGGGGATGATAGAGAGGAGGGCAGATTAGGAAAGGGGGTAATCAGAAGGAAATACTTCTGAGGAGGGACAGAGTCAAAAGAAAGAATAGAATAAATGGGAGGGCAGGATAGGATTAAGGGAAATAGAGTTAGTTTTTCACAACATGTGTACTATGGACGTGTTTTGCATAACTGCACATGTACAACTTATGTTGAGTTGCTTGCCTTTTCAATGAGGGTGGGTGGGGAGGGAGGAAGAGAGAAAATTTGAAACCTAAAGTTTTAAAAACATATGTTTAAAAAGATGTTTTCACATGCTACTGGGAAATAAGAAATACAGGAAATGGGGTACAGAAGTCTATCGTGCCCTACAGGAAAATAGAAGGGGAAGAGGATAAGAGAAGGGGAGAGAGATAGAAGACAGGATAGAGTAGGGGAAGGGATATTCAGAATGCATGACATCTTAGGTGGGGGGAAGGGGGGAGATGGGGTGAAAATTTGGAACTCAAAAACTTGTGGAAGGGAATGTTGAAAACTAAAAATAAATAAATTTATATTTGAGAAAAAAAAGCTACTCACTAATAGAACTAACTTTATCCCTTACTCCTGAGCATTGGTTGTGAAGGTAAACTTTGATAGAGTGACAGGACAGATGTTGTCTCAACCTCAAATAGCCTGTCTGGCAGAATGTTTTAGAGTACCCACATGAGCAGGGTAGCCAGTGCTTGTTCAGAGATCTTATTGTCAGGCTTAGGCTTAATTCTGTTTCACTTGTTTTTATTTCTATTATAAGAATTTGGAGAAAACGAAAAAGATCAATCTGTGAAATCTGGGAACAAAAGTGCTTTATTGGTCCTAGTCATGTCAGTTTTGCCAGGCTTCATATTAATAATGATCTTGATCATTTTATAATTTGATGTTCTACTTCTTGGCAATTGTGAAGTGTCATATAAGGATTAGTATAATAATAGATTCAGTTCTTTTGAATTTAATTATCATCCTACTCTTATTATAGGTTGCTAATGCCATGAAGAATTCATTGCCATTTGATGCTCCTGATTCTTCACAAGAAGGTCAGAAAGTACTTAAAGTAGAGGTCACACCCACAGTGCCAAGGATTTCTCGGACTGCAATCACAACTGCTTCAATTCGTCGTCATCGATGGAGGCGTGAAGGTGAGAATAGCAGGCAGTCAGTAATTCCATTATTGTGAATAGATTATTGCTCTGTTATTAATAAAATTCATATTACTATTATATGGTGTTAACATACATTGTACAATTAATCCAAAAAAGTTTGACTAGATACTTTTAGTGATAGAAATATGATTTAAAATGTCTATGACTCTTTTAATAGTTTTCTTTAGATTTTCCTTATGAATGATGTTTCTTCAGAAAATATTTCAAATAAGATGAAATGTAAAATAATTTGAGTGTACAGAAAGGCAAGAGATTGAAACTTTCATCTTTGCTTATTAAAATACTCAGTAACAACAAAGTAAGGGAGAGGTTTTCGTTAAATGTGCTTATTGTCGTTGAGAAGTTTCAGTTTGCGCATGTGTGAGCATTTTAATTAAAAAAGCAACATAAAACAAAGCAAAAGTCTGTAACTGGTTGAAACAAAATATAACCCAAGCAGTTTCCTAAGAAGGATTGATTCTGGTTTTAGATTATTGTCTTTGATTTTACTGTGGGCTTGTTTATTTTTAAGTATTGATTGCAGCAGTGTCTCATGAACATAGAACCTATATAGTCAAGCTGTCTTGGCCTTGTTGTAGGAGCATATTATTGCTATTTTAATGATCTTTTTTTCACTTCTCTGTCCTGTTCATTTGCCAGCTCACACATTTTTCATCTGCCTTCTTGCGTATGTATGTGCATTGTACACACATGTGTAATTGCATATGGTTAGTATTTTTTGTTTTTTTGATACCATATCCACATAAACTTCCTTGATCTGCCTGGGTCAAAATGCTCAGAAAGTTATAGAAGAGCACAAAAGCACTAAAATTTTATATGTTGAATCCCAGATGGCTTTGACTTCTCAAACGAGGCTGACTCGAGTATTCCTGGCTCCCCGATCCAACACGGCTCCACAGACCTAGGGATCAAACGTGTGCAAGAGGGGGAGGTGCTGATGCGCAGGACCCCTGAGCATGGCTCGCCGGAGCCCACCTTGGCAGCAGCCACAACAGAGGGTAGGACAGAGATGAGGAGGCAGAAGTCAGTGAGGCAGTTCCTGGAGAAGGATCCTGGCTCCCTATCCCCAAGCAGAACATCTTTCCATTCTAGTGTGTGTTTCCACTATCCCAGGGTGTATTAGCTTCTCCTTGCAATACACACACTTCCCTTTATGCCTAGCAGCAGGTCAGGTACAACCTTTTGTTATCATGTGTGCTGGCCTGTAGTTTGCATCCCTGTATGGTTAAAGAACAGCTTGGCATGGCTAATAACAAGGCAAGCAGCCGTCTTCGAGAGGCCTGCAAAGGCTTGGGATGTTTTCATTACTGAGCATGTCTACTTTAACATTAAGGGAAAATGCATCCAATGAACACGAGCCCTGATTGCCAGTTTAAACTTGTTTAGGTTCCAAAAACTTCAGGAATTAATACTTAAAGAACTTGTGAAGACTGCTGTAAAATAGAAAGGTGTCATCTTTGATTGGAAAGCAGAACCAAGGTGGATTGTTTGTCTGACTTATCTCCTTTCAATGATTCCAAGAACAAATTTACCTCAGCCTAATTGTAGGTCTTTATTGGTATTGATTCACTTTATAACATTTGAATAGATCAAGTTGCTGTGTTTCTAACTACTTTACCAATTTTCCTCTATAAACAAGATTTCCTGTTCAAGCTCCAGTTCTGAAGCAGAGTGCAGTGCTTATTTTAGTGTCTGTAGATGATTTTGTTATGCTCACTAAACTAGTTTGGATCATGAGCTATATTGGAACTGACCAATCATGTATGCAATGAAGTGGGATTTCCAGCTTCTCTTGTTACTAATTGCTTGTGTGTAACTTCCAACACTGAGGTGAAAATGGATTCTTAGAAGTTTAGCTGTACAGTAGCAACTTTTATTTAATGTAGTTGTACCTTCACTCTGAGAATGTTCCTGTGGTATTTTCACTGTTACAGATCACTCAACTTCTTACTAATAGGAAAGTATTGCTAGCTATTCTGTGTATATTGTTGTCTCCCAGGAATTGTTCCCTGGAAGAAGGGTGCAAATAAACCCAAGAGTTCCTTTCCAATTTAATGTGTTGCTACTTTGGAAACTGCCTTGATTCATTGATGTACCAAAGCAAATTGCCTTTAGAATATGTCATTTAATTGTAAGGGTCAGGGGGCAGCTAGGTGGCGCAGTGGATAGAGCACCGACCCTGAAGTCAGGAGAATACCTGAGTTCAAACCTGGCCTCAGATCAAACACTTGACACTTACTAGTTGTGTGAACCTGGGCAAGTCACTTAACCCCAATTGCCCCCCCCAAAAGATACTAATTGTAAGGGTCAGTTAGTTTCCAGTATATTTTAGGAGGACTCCTGCTCCTTGGTGCATCAGAAATTTGAGCATGCTCAGTAAGAATCTGAAGCTACTTTTAACTCCCCAGCCATTTGGCCAAATTGGCCTTCTTTTTTCTCAGTGTTGCATGTGCATGACCTGAAGGATCTGGAGACATTGTTGCTACTTTTCTAGACCCAAATTAAATGGTTGTGAAAGATGCAGCCTTCCCTTTCCAGAAGTTTTACATAATTTGACATGATTCCCTGGAGCCAGCTTTATCTTGCATAAACAAGAGAAAATGAGACTACAAATAAATATCAAATATACTAATTGCTTAAAGTGGACAAAAACCTGCTTTTTAACACTCTAGGATAAAAGGAGGGTTGGATGAGCCTATTTGGCTTTCTGTACCAATTGCTATTTTTATAGTGAATTTTAGTGCCTTGCTAATTAAAAAGGTGTTAATGCAAAAGTTTGAGATTAGGAAATTGAAGCTTTTCTTTAATTCAGCAAAAGTCAAAACATCCTGAAAAAGGAGCAGAAGTATTACAGTTAATTTAGTATTTCCTGTAATTGTTAATAATTAAGTATTTTGGATGTAGTTAGGAAAAGGATGTTAAGTTCCTTAAATATGTACAAAGTTTTTCTTAGCTTTCATATTTGTAGGTTTAAAATAAAAAATAGAGGCATAACTTACTAAGAGAAGGAAATGCAATGAAATTAGTCATCAGTATTCCTTTTTGTATATTCTTTGCACTGCTCTTTGTTGTTAGTATCTTTATAACTTAAGGAAGGGAGAAAAAACACAGACCCACCCTCATCCTTTGCTTCTTTATTCAGTGCTCTTTGGGGAAACTTTTCAGGCATGACACTGAAATTGTATTTTAAATATTTGAATTGTGTTGATTATATGTTGAAAAGGAGAGAGAGAGGGTGACAAGGAGCTCAAATTTAAGAATTTTACTTGGCAATCTGAAGAAACTGTCTGTAACTTTTGAAGGCATTCTTAAAATCATCAGTAAAGCAAGAGTTAATACCTTGAGTGAATCCGAAATTCTACTGCAGTACTGCTCCACTACACTGAAAAAACATTTCTGGGTATTTGAGATCCATTGATTCCTTTTTGCATGCACTACCTTTCTGCCATCGTCATCTTTACTATTGCTGACCTGCTTGAGCATCTAATCTGCATGGAGCAATAATCCAAAGCAAGCACCAAGTGTCTTAGTTTCCTCTCTTGATTAAATTAATACTTATAATGTTATTTTGTTCCGTCACTCTTTATATTGCTAAAACATGTTTTCTCAGCACTTAAAAGTATTTTCTATGGACATTTTGCTGTTATTTAAGTTTTTATAATATGATGTAATGTGTATTTATAGAGTTTGGCATTCTTATTTTAGTGCACAATATGTGCTGTCTTTTTGAAGAAGGAGGTTGAGAGAGGAAGTAGCTGCAGCTATTTTTCCAAATGCACTCTCATATAGAAGGCTTTGCATGATGACCAAAGAAAAGTTAGTTGCCAGATGAAACAAGGTGTTTCTGTTTTTAAGAGTAGCTTGATTATTAAATTTTTTCCAGCACCTTTGAGAAATCAGGCATTTCTTTTGTTTTCAGCTTTTTTTTTTTTTAGGGAGTGTGTTAAAGAAAAGACTTGTAATATGTTTCACATAACTATTTGAAATTATCTTGGCTAATATTGTTTCATAAATATAAAGATATTTGCTTTTCAAAGGTTCTGGTTAAATTTTCTTGGGGTGTGGGGAGAGGTATCAGAAATAACTTCTTAATGAAATAGCAAAACATTCAGCACTTTAAAAAAAAAAGAGGCTCATATATAGTAATACTCTGGCTTTAGAAAGAGCCTTTTAGAGGTTTGCCTTTGGTGTAATGATTTTTACAAGAATATTGATTATAATTCTAAAAAAGGAATGGAGTTGTCTGAAATTCTTCCTTCTCTGTTATTTTCAGTCCCAGAAAGAGGGATTCCATAGATTGAGTGTGAATTCTAGGATGAAAGTTGATGGAAGTCATGATAATAACATCGCTTCTAAACATACTTTTTGCTTCATGACTTAATGCTCAAAGATTTTTTTTCATATGTATTGATGTTTAGGTTCTCATCTAAGAGAGCACAGAAACTTGCTACTGGATTCATTAATTGAATAGTATATAGCTATGGAGAAATTTAAGTTTTAGGAGCTGTCCTAAGAAGTAAAACTAATTGAGAGGATTGTGAAATTTTGTGTTTGCAAATGAAAGGCTAGCTAGCCCTTGTGTTAAAAGATTCACCTCTGTGGCTACTTCTATGTACTCTTGGATTATAGACTAAGTATAACATTTTACATAAAAGAGGCATTTAAAATTGAAACAATAAGTGAAAAAAGCTTCCACATAATTTAGTAGAATTGGATCTTTTTCAGGTGGTAAATATACTGGCAATATCAGATACAACAGTTTCAGAAAGGTTTTCATTATGTTTGAGCTTTTTGCAAAACAATGCAAAAAATCTTAAGACTACTGACTTTTCATTCGGTAATGGCTAAAGTTATCTTAAACTGAACGTTTATGTGCTGAAGTGTATTGTGTTAACAGTTTGTACTACAAGAAAGTTGTATGAAGCCTAAATTGACTTGTGGTATCCAGTTCTTGACTTTATTTTTAATAAGAGGCAGTTGACATGTCTTCAAAAGGATATTAATGGAATATCCATGCACTAGAGTAATTCGGAACAACAGGATACTAGTATATTGGAAATCATTGTGGAGTAGGATATGTATCAGGAGTATTGTTTGACAAGGTCATTATCAGTGTATAGCAAACTTAGAATTTCACAACAGATGAAGTCTGTTGTGATGCTAATCGTAACTGCTACTTCCTTTAACTGAGCTTGTGCTCAGTCTCTCTGATTTGTTTTTTAGGTGCTGAGGGTGTAAATGGAGGAGAGGAGTCTATGAACCTGAATGATGCAGATGAAGGATTTTCATCAGGGGCTTCCCTCAGCAGTCAACCAGTTGGGACCAAACTATCATCCTCCTCTCAGAGAGGAAGCTTAAGGAAAGTAGCAAGCGGGCGTTCTGCCAAGGATAAAGAAATAGCTTCTGTCACTAAATCCAGCGAGAGCCCTCGAGAGTCAGTAGCTCGTAAGCAGTACATACACCAGCCAACTGACCTTAGTGTAGATTCCATTGAGTTGACACCTATGAAGAAACACCTGAGCCTACCTGCTGGCCAGGTGGTGCCAAAAGCTAATAGCTTGAGTTTGATCCGGACGGCCAGTGCTTCTTCAAGTAAATCGTTTGACTATGTGAATGGCAGTCAAGCCAGTACAAGCATTGGGGTTGGCATTGAAGGAGTTACTAATTTAGCAGGTAGCAATGGCCAATCGATTTTCAACTATCAGTCTACAGGAAGACCGGCTAGGTCAAGCTGGGGAAGGTAAAGATCTCCTCAGCCCAGGAGTCCCCCTAACTAAGCAGTCTCGCTCCCCAAGCTTCAATATGCAGCTGATATCACAGGTGTAGTTTTGAAAGTTCTACTTCCTTCTCTTTCTGCTTATCTTTTAAAACCAAACATTTCATTGTACAAGAAGAAACTTCATGCCACAGTCTGAAACTACTGATCATTGTAATCAGATTTTATTTGGTTTAGGTATCGTCATACTGTATTTTGTACTGAAACAGCAATAAGATTTTCTTTCCCTTCCTATTCTTCCTCTCTGCCCCGCCTTCCACAAATGTATTTGTGAAGCAGTATAAAATGTATGCCTTTTTCATGCCTTTCTCCTTGGGTGATGTGCAATTCATTGTAGGCTGATCGGTCCCATTTCAGCACTGTGAGACTGCAGAGACAATAGAGGAAATGGCGTATGTGATCCCTATGAAATGATTCTTTGGCTTTGTTAAGAAGTAGAAACGGGTTCTCTCAGTGTACAGAACTATGAAAACTACTGGATCATTTTTTTCTCAAAACCAGGAGTGCCTCAGAGATTCTACTATGACTTTGGACTTCTCTGAGTTTGTGCAATCTTTTGTTTCTCTGTTTTTCTTTCTTTTTTTCTATCTTTCTTTTTTTAAGTATGGGAAAAAGAGGTTGGAGGTAAGAGATCAGACCTGCTCCTACCAGTCTGCTGCACTTTTTTCATTAAAATGAGGGTAGCTCTTTTCCCCCAACTTTTTTACTCTGAAAAGTTAAACATTTAGTCACTGAAACATTCAAACCAAGTTTGGTCTTCTCCATTGCAGAGAAGGCTCTAAGTTTATTGTGTAGATGGTAATGCACTTTTAATGGCTTTATAGCCATATTTAATGTAATGTCTTCCCTCTTTCCCACCAGGACATAAAGGGTTATTCTGTCAGTAGGTTAAAGTTTGAAACAAGTTTGAAACAAGTCCAAGAATCCAGATAGGGTATCCTATTTCCTAGACATGATGAATAGTTCTTGTTTCTGAATTGTTAATTGATTCAAACAACTGCATCTTCAGGTAAACAGAGGAATTTCTCAAGTCATATTCAGTGATACCAGTTTATTAGTAAAGCCCTCTCAGCTGCTTTCTAGGTGTGCCTAAATTCAGTCAAATATTTTGGATTAAGAAATACACAGTCCTGACAGATTTTATATTTGATAGAGGTACATCAGGAACAGAAAATTTGCTTGGGGGCATCACTGAAGCTTCAGTGTGACACATTTTATAAAACAATTTCCCACCAGGGGATATTGAAATGTTTTCTGCTAAAAGGACCATACTACCTTTTTATTCATTAGTCAACTGCAGTTTGTGAACATGTTCAACATTCATTTGAAAGTAGCTTCCTCATCCTTAGAAAATTTTGAAATCATGTCAATGAGCTAGATGGTAAATGTATGACTAGCTTTTGGAAATTGTGTAAGAGGCTTCAAAAATGTATCATTCTGAATATCAGTTCTGATTTGAAGAATTATCTTAGAGATTACATAGCCTCCCTGAGTCTTTTGGCTCTGATAATTAAAATAGAAGGGAGCATACTGCCTTTAGAAAATAAACACACACACACACACACACACACATATCTGTTACTGTACTGTCTTGGAATCACATAAGTTATCTTCCCATAAAACATATCAACGCTAATGTTGCTCAGTTTTTTTAAGGCACTTTTCATTGATGCTGTGGAAAAAATGTTTTGGGGAATTTGTTGAAAATAGATTTTTCTCTTAAAATTTAAAAAAGCTGTAAGAATAATTCTAGAAATTGAAATTATATTAGAATTTGATAAATATAAGCGCCAGGAAGGGCTCCTAGTTCTTCCATTTTTTTATAAAAAGAATCCTTTAATTTTGATGGTAAAGGATTTCCTTTTAAACAGTTACTAGAACAATTGGATTCTTATTTCAAGGTAATGATTCTGTAATGTTTTCAGTTCATATGCAGATTGGCAAGTTAGAATCAAAAACATTTATACCATTGCCAAAGCCCAGTGGTAATATAGATTTTATATATACACATCTGTATATGTACATACATAGATGTATATGTATAGTATGTGTATGTAAAGATATAAATAAAGATCTCATATTTTAGTTAGGCATAACTTTTTTTTACAAAATTGGTCCATAAAAATACCAGAGAAATATAGAGAAGTGAAAAACATCTGAAATAAATGAGAAGGCAGAATTTTGATCATATTAAAATTTCATGTATGAAAGGAGGGGGGAGCACTTGTAAATTACTGGAAGTGGTGAATGACTTTTGCAGAGACATCTAATTTCTTTTTTTTTTTGAGACATCTCATTTCTTCAAAGAGCAAAAGGTTTGTCTTCTGTAAAATTCAGTAATTCCACAAGCATTTATTGAGTACCTTCAAGCACAAAATTACCAAGTATAAATAGTATAAAACTCCAAAGCCCTCCCCCCCTTTTTTGTTTAAAATCCAAGATGTATGTATGTATGTTTGTATGTATATGTGTGTGTATATACATATATGTATACAAACACACACATATATATATAAAATTTGGTTTTGGAAAAAATTACAAATACTTTGGGGATATACGTCTACCTATGTACACTCAGTGTACACATGCATATTAATTATGCCCATTGGAATGTCATACTCTTGATGAATAGTTGCTTTCATCATGTCCTTTTATTTACTACAATTTGACTCTACTTTTGAAACATTTCAATGAATTGAAACTAGAGATTCAGGTTGTTAACAGCAAATTTGTTTGTAAAGTGGCATTATCGTTGAATTGTTTAGGAAAAAGTCTTATGGCTTCTAGTACAGGTTTTTGGATGATCATTTGGATTATTTGTTGGCACTTTTTTCTTGAAGTAGTGCCTTTTTGTATATACAATTGTTGATCTACAAGCATTTGGAAATCTCTATTCATGCATTTTTATTATATAATAAATTCATTCTAGACAAGCTATTCATAATTTCCATAAAGTGTCTTACAGATCACTACAAGAAATATACCCTTAAATGTGTCACTAAAATCTGAATTCAGCCAATCTATGGTAAAGCTATTAAGGAATGAAATGCCAGTTTTCTGTAATAAAGTAGATTTTCATTGATGTTGTCCATGTTAGATCAAGATTTGGCAAAGTGCCTGAAGGGAAATGAAATATGCATAGAGTTAGGACAATTCATTCTAAGGCCATGTTAAAACAGCTTTATGACACTAAAAAGAAACTTGATGAGAAGCAAAATAAAGTATACAATGAAAAGTTGCCTTTTGGGGGTAAATTATAAAAATTTTTGTTAAGATAAGCTGCTCTTTGTTGGTGGTGGGGAGATTTTAACATGAAGCTTTTGTTTTTCCTTAGCTTATTCCACTGTACATATGTATTGTAGAATCATGGGATTTTACAGCTAGAAGGACCTTGAAGATCATCTAGTCAAGTGCAACCCTCTCTCTCCCTTTATAGTTGGGGAAGCTGAAGCTCAGAGACATAGTGGTTTGCCTAATGTCACACAGCTGATGAAAGCTAGGACTAAACCTAGGTCTCCTGTCTCTTAGGCCACTTCTTCCTACTATACTAGGCACTTTTACAATACATGTGGTATATAGCATCAAGCAACCCTGATCCCTTCAGCTCCTTTATGCTATTATATGGTACAACATTTAAAGGAAAAGATATGCAAGCAAAATGTAGATCAAATCATTTTTCCACATGTGGTTGAATACAACGTACACATAAGTGCTGAAAATGTAGGTATCTTTGTACACATAAGGTAGTTTTAATGCATCATGTCATAATTTCTACCACATTTTACTCAAATGCTTCCATTTTAGATAATTTTTGTGAGGTTTTATTTAAAGGTAAAGTAACTCCCACTGAAATGACTTAATCAGTATTTTTGTTATTCAAATTTTACAGAAGTACCAAAATGGCAAATTAATTACATGTCCAATTGAATATTGCAAATAAGAACTAAAGTACTGAACTTTCTGTTCCATTCCTTTTTTTATGTTTAAGAGATTACACTTAATATTACACTATTAATACAGGTTAAGTTTCCTGACGTGAATGAAAAGTCATATTTATTGTAAAGCTTCTGCTTCCTTATTGCAATACTAAACACTATATCATAAAAAGTAACTTATTAAATGTCTTGTAGCTGCAGTAGTTTCAGATGCATAAGCTTAACATTTCCAGTCTGAATCCTCAAATTCTACTTGTTAGCTTTAAAATTAATCATCTGCTTGATGACATTAGAAAAATGAGAATGAAAATTTTTCTAAGACATTTAATTTGCACTGTTGTTATGAATATTAGAATGAAGTAGTGTTTTCCTTTCCCCACCGCTTGAAGTTTGTATGTGTACTTTGAGTATGTTTAACAGTCCAGTTCCCTCAGCTAATTCTCTCCATGTTCATTTGTAAATAGAAAAAATTTTAATATAAAAGGGTAGTAGCCCACTGCTGAACAGTGGCAGATAGGATCATCCCATTTCTGTCCTCAGATACCATAATGTATGTGTTGCTTTGTGTATTTGAATATCAGTATTTTGTTTCTGAATTTTGTTGGTGGGGAAGAAGTTTATTTTGTAAGTCAGAGCTAGTGAATGAATCAGGAAATTCCATAAAGGTGTTAGAGCCTTTTTATTTTAAGGGCATGTTAAACAGTCTATATGCAGATTTTTTTTTCTTCTTTCAAGATAGTTGGTTGTTTTACTGTTGCAGAGTATTAAAAAATTCATTTGACAAGGCATTTGTAATAATTAATTTGTGGTTTGCTTTAAAGATACATGTTCCTTAGAAAGAATTATTTTGGAGAACAACTAGAAAGCACTCTTACTTAAACTATCCCTAGGATTTGTCAGATTACAGGACAGTAAAATTGGGTTAATGATGCTAATGAAATCTTAAGTAGTCATTTAAGTTGGTGCAGTTAGCTTTTGCCAAAATTGTCATATTGATGATAGCTTTACATGTAGTTCAAGGAAATGAGTAACAGATAAATGATCATCCCAAGCCACTAGAATTAAAGAGGTTGTCACCTTTCCACTGCCCTCCATATTTGGGAGTATTCATTTTAAACCAGACCACATAATATTTGGTATATTTAGCATTTTTATTTTAGAAATATCCTGGCTTCCACAGTACTGTTCCTTAGTTATCTTTGAAATAAATCACAAAATTAACATTGTGGCAGCTTGAAAAGCTGATTCTGCATGAAATCATTGGTAGTATAGAGCTGAAAATGTAATTTTTTTTTTTGCTTCTGAATTTGAAAAATGTATTGAAACTGTTTACAGTTATGGCGTAAATGAATTCTTGAAGACACACTGCTATGATGTTGAATATGACTTTTATAAAAGAACAGTATGTAGAAATAAGTGTGGCTTGGATGATAGCAGTGAGATTGCCTAAAACTTAGTTTATTTTTTAATAAGGAGCTTCAGTTTAGGAGACCCTCTTTAATCATTTTTCTAAAAGAAACTTAATTGGCTACTTCATTCTCTACTAAAAAATGGATTTCAGTCTGGGTTGCAGTGTTTGTAGGCTTTTAGTTCAGCGTTGCCTGTAATATCTAGAATAATAAATTCTTTGTCTTCCCTGATTTCATTATTTTACCAAAGAAATTAAGAGACCAAATATGATTTTCAAATTATCTGGGATTTGTACAATTCCCCCTTCCCTTTTTTTTTAATCTGGAAAAAATGAAACTGAATAGATTCTTTAAAATGTAGATTATCTGTAGATACATTACACTTGGGAGTCTGGGTAGAATTCTTAGAAGTTTCCATTCTTTGTCTTTACTTGAAATAAGTTGAATTTTGTCATTATTCTAGTGGTAATTTCTATTAATTTTAAGATAACAAAATATATAAAAAAGAAAGTATAATTGTATACATTAAATGCATAAAGAAAGAATTAGAAATATTTTTCATAAGAAAATCATATAGAAGGAAAAGCCATTTTCAACAAAAGATACTAAATACATATAAGTTCATTTGTTATTGCTTAATGAAGACATTTTCTCATGGCACATGTAGTGTGACATGTTTCTATGTCTTTTCACCAATTTATGTAGGAGATTAAAGATCCTACAATATGCCAGTATTGAATAAAACAATTTAAAAATCAGTAAGTCATCCTCAGACTAAGAGGTAGAGTAGATGGACCTGACAGCTGAGGAACAGTATAACCCTAGGCCTGTCACTTAGCTTTGCTTCTCAATGCCCTAGGCAGCTCGCTACTAGTTAGGGAGATAGTTCATCATCATCCTCCAATGAGGTTTTCACACCTCATCACTACACTGATGAAATCAGATCTGGACCAAAAAACACTTTACAACATGTGACATGCCACAAAGAAAAGGTACAGAAACAGACCTCTTTGAATTAGCACACTCAGACATTTCTGCTAGATTTGTTTGTGGCATGTGAGAAATGTAATTGGTAAAATGGGGTTATTTCTTCACCTATAATCTGTATGAGTAATCACTCAGGATGTTTTTTTTCTTTGCAGTTATCTTGGGCTAAGAACTAGTAAGAGTATTTATGTGTAATGTGAGTTTATTGGGAATATCACTCCTAAATATGCCATTTTAACTTGTTTTATTAAAAATAAGAAATGTGATTAAGAAAGATGCTCTACTCAGTCACTTTTTCATACTGTTCTCCCTTAACAAAGAGATTAGAAAAATAATGTTTTGGTTAGTTTAACCAGACCGTTTTGAAAACTATAAATAGATTTGTTTTCTAGACATTAGGAGGGTATTTTTTTTAAGTTTTATTAAGAAAACTATACTGAGAGGTATGCCCCCATGTGGTCTTTTTAACATTTGTAATAAATTCATATACTTTACAATGAATCTTTTTGATTCTTATCCTTGAAATTATACTGGATTTACATTCAGTTTGACTAGCTAAGAGATACAATCTTTAATGGTTAAAAGATTATTTTCATACTTGTTTCTCATGCTAGTTTGGCTCTTCTGAGCTAAGGTTTCTGAAGGACTTTTATGACTTTGGCATTGTATAGTCTTTGCTGTCATAATACAAAAGGAAGCAGTAAATGAAAAGATGTGGACCATGTAAAACAACCCTTATTTTTCACCAGCATTAAATTGATGGTTGCACTAGGCTGCCCAAGTATTTAAGATTTATTGCTGGTGAAAGTTTAAACAAGATAAGTATATAAAAAATGAGATCTGTACTGCGTGATGTCCCTTAACCTAGGACCAGTAAAAATCTTCATTCTTTTAGAGCTGAGGGTGACACACACATTGAAGATCATGTGCATGTAAGCCATTACTTTAATAACTGTCTTACTGAAACTGGTTAATGCTATTGACTGTTGTTGAAATGTGAAATATATTTACTGTTGACCTTGTAAATATCTGCCAGAGATGAAAAAATATTTTAAGTCATTGTAAATAAAGATGTAAAAAGTTGATTATCAATCTGCCAAGCAGAAAAGAATATCTAAAAATGTTAAATAAATATTGTGTTTCTGGATAGCTGTGTGCCTTTTTTTCCTAAATAAACCATATTTATGTATGTGGATTTTCTTTTCCAAAAGATAAAAGGCTCTAAATATGCTTTCCTTCAGATACTATATAGATTTCAGTGTCATTGAATTTACTTCTTACAGCAACATTTTGATCCTTCACTGTGTCTCCTAAAGTTTTCTTAATTCTCCTGTTATTTATGGATATACTCTAGAACTTTATCTTAATCCCTCTACTGTAGCCACTTTACTTCAGTCAGCAAATGTCTGCTGTGTCCCAGATGGGTGAAAGAAAAGTAAAACAGCCCCTGTTCTCAGAGAAGCATCTGTTTTATTGGGGAGACATACACCTATGAATATATACCGAATGAATACAGGTAAGTTTAGGGAATGTAGGACTATAGCTATTGGTCAGATCAGGAAAGGCTTTGTGTAGAAAGTAGTCCTTGCGTTGTAGAAAATTAATATGCGGGGCAGCTAGGTGGCGCAGTGGATAAAGCAACAGCCCTGAAGTCAGGACGACCTGAGTTCAAATATGACCTCAGACACATAACACTCACCAGCTGTGTGACCCTGGGCAAGTCACTTAACCCTAATTGCCCTCACCAAAAAAAAAAGAAAAGAAAATTATGCTATATTATTTAATAATAATATTCTGTGAACAATCCTTATCTTTGTCAGACCCCACTTTTGAAGGACAGGCAGTTTCTGAAGGGCATAGACTAGCAATATGATAACCTCTAGAGCCAAGGCATCTGCTCATTAACTAGCTTGGACTAGGCCTCTCCCAAGTGGGACCCTTGCTTCTGTTTTCCCTGTAAACAGAAGCCAGTTTGAGCTTAGCTCTCCCCAGGGGACGTGTCATTTGTCCTTGCTTTTCCTTCATCAAAGTTGGGGGTGACCTGGTCTATAAGAGGGAGATCCTGATTGTGGTAGTTTTCTATCAAGATTGCTAGAGGCAGCTGGGTCACAAAGCAACTAGCATTCCTTATTAGAGAGGGGTGAAATCAGCTAATCTTTTTACCAGAGGATTACTCCTGTCGAACCCCCCACACACACCTCATAAGTAATAGGGAGGAGCTGAGAACTATTAACCCACCTCCTCATTAAAATGTCCATCAGTGGGGATTGCCTTCCCTGCGCGAGGAGAGGTCCAAATGATGTACTGTCCAGCCAATCAGAAGGAAGACATACCTAGGTTTAAAAAGCCCTGCCTGCCATCACTCATAGCCTTTTGACACAAACGGAGACAAGTCAGAGATCCCTTTTTTAATGAGTTCATGCCCTATTAATAAACACCTCGCTCAGCTCACAACACACTGTTGAAAAAGTAAGGTATTCTATGAATGAAGGTAGGAAAAGAGCATTTCAGAACTGGGGAAATGCAGGCCAGGGCAAAGGCAATAAGAGAAAATGAAGTGCACGTGAGGAATAGCAAAAAGACCAGTTTGACTAGACCATATAATGTCCAAAAGGGGAATGATGTATGATGAAGATGGAAAGGTAAGTTGGAGCCAGACTGTAAAGTTTTAAAAACCAAGTAGTAGTTTATATTTAATCTTAGAGGCAATAGGAAGTTCCTGGAGTTGACTGAGTAGGAGGAGCATGAGTGATCAGATCTTCACTTAAGGAGAATCACTTTAACAACTTTATAGAAAACAGTTTAAGTTGAGAGATGGGGGTCAGAAGGCATATGGCAAAGGGTTGAAATGTGAGTGGAAGGGGAGAAGAAGTTGCAGCAATGCCTGTAGACCCCTTTCTAGAAGTTTGGCTGAGAAAAGAAGAAATAATAGGGCAATAGCTTGAGGCGATGGTAGAGAATGGTAGTTTTTTTCAAGACTTGGCACACTTGAAAATAGAAAAGAACGAGTCAACATATTAAAGAATGTGTATAGCATAAATATATATAACTACAAGGTAGTTTTTGGAGGGAAGACCCTAGAGGTTGTGGCAATCAAGAAATACCAGGTAGAAAATGTGCTTCTGCTGTGCTGTGCTTAGCAATGCCAATCCTAGAGGGAATGTATTACACTGGGTTAATAAGCATTAAAGGGCTTATGATGTGTCAGGCACTACACCATGCACCAGGTATACAAAAAAAAGCAAAAATAGTTCTTACTCTCAAGGAAACAGGTAAAAGAGAGCCGCTGGAGCTCAATTAGTAAGGGCATGAGATAATTAAACCACATTTTCAAAAAATGGCAGTGTAATATATGATGAATTGGTTTGGAGAGAGACTAGGCAGTGAGACACACAACGAGCATTAAGTGCTTATTATGTCCCCCCTGTGCTAAGTGCTTGAAATATCACCGCCCCTCCCCTCTAAAGGCTTACATTCTGATGGGGAAGACAACACATAAAAGGAAACTGAAAGGGGAGAGTAGGGGAGATAGTGGGTACTTAGTTTGAGCACCCTTTTGAAATGGAAATTCTAGAAGGAGCCCTTTGCTTTCCATTTCCAAGGAGCCACCTCAGAAGCAGAGGGTTCCAGGGCTGAAGTGATTTAGGAAGAACATGTTTCTGTGGGGCCTGATGGAGGAGTTGAGAGAAGTGCTCCCTAAAGGGACGAGTTAGGAAGCAGAACATTTTGTTATGGAATGTGTGAGGAACAAAGAAAACACCAGTTTGGCTGTTTTTCAGAGTCGGGAAGGAGTAATCAGTGAAAGTGGAAAGATAGGGGGTTGGAGTCAGGTCGTGAAGTCTTTAAAAAAGAAACAAGAGTTATTACATTCTCTGCTAGAGGCAATAGGAAGCCACCTATTATGTAGAGGATTCACAGAACTACACTTAAGGAAAATTACTTCGGCAGTATTGTATAGGATGGACTAGAAGGGTGAGATCTGAGACAGTGAGACCAAATAGGAGACTTGTAATAATTCAGGCAAAAGGTAATGAGGGCCTGAACTAAAGTGACAGCTATGAGTGGAGAAAAAGGGTCAGATGTCAGAGATGTTGTGGAAATAGAGGCTCAAAGTTCGGCAGTTAATTTCAGAGAGGCTTCCAGGATAATGTCAAAGTTATAAATTCAGAAGACTGGAAAGATGGCAGTGCTTTCGATGGAAATAGGTATGAAAGAATGGTATCAAAGTGGAAGGGTTTCCCTTCATTAGAAGATCCATTTCATTATCAGAGACTTGAACAAAGAAAAAGGATGAGTTGATGTCAAGGGTATTTGAGACGAGGGAAGAGAGGATGAGGTTAAATTTCGTTCATGTCCATTGCACCCACTACATATCTTTGCGTAGTTTTTGTATCAATGGCAGGAAACGTTTTGCTTAGATACACAGTAAAAATGAGTGATTTTTTTTTCTTCCCAGAGAGAAATGTATAAAACATTGTCTGCACTCACTATTTCTTTAGCTAGATGGTATTTTACTATTATTTATATATTTCATTTTTACATAATATTCCATGGAATGTAGCAGAGTATTTAGCTTATGGCTGCTTTGTCATTTGGTTTAGTGGTATGTGTGTGTGTGTGTGACATGTAAGAAAACAAACATGCATCAGTTTTTAAACAAAGCACATGAAGGTGGCACACAATTTGAGGTGATGGTGAGATCTAAGGTGTATCTTCATCTTTGCCTGATGTCATTTCCATGTTCGTTTTCAGATTACAAGAGGGCACGGAGCATAGAAATTGTGATCCCACACTCAGCCACCCTAGCTAGGACCACAATCTATTCTTTGATGTGTCAGACTAATACTACTAGAGGAAACAGGACCAAGAAGATATTAGTCAGCCTTGCCAGTTGCAAAGCTTTACTCCAGGCAAAGGACTGAGAGAAAAGTGCATTTTCTTTCTGCCCTTTACTCATATTCTAAGTAACTTCCTCAATTGATGAGCCAAGAGATTCTTGGCAAAGATGGAAACTTTTACCAAAATACCTAATGTGTAGTTTGAACACAAGAGCAAAGAGAAGAAAACTAATAAAGTTAAGAAATACTATGGTTGGGGGGTAGGTAGGTGGCACAGTGAATAGAGCTCTTGTCTTGGAGTCAGGAGGACCTGAGTTCAAATCCAGCCTCAGACACTTAACACTTACTAGCTGTGTGACCCTGAGCAAGTTACTTAACCCAACTGCCTCACCAAAAAGCAAAAGAAAAAAGAAAGAAATACTATGGTGTAAGAAAATCCCAACATAAGAAAATAATTTGCAATAATCAATAACAGAACCCCAGAAGAAAAAAAAAAAGAATGAATTGGCCACAAGGACTCCAAGAGTAGTAGGAAGAAATGAAGAATGATTTCAAACAAATGATAAAAAATTAAAAAGAGATTTGGAAGGAGAATAAACATCTTAGAATAGAAGATGGTAAATCTTACCCAAATGCTGTATATAGAAGAAACAGAACTTGAAAATTCAATGACACAAGAAGAAACATTAAAATTAAATCAAAAGACTGAAAAGTTGGAAGATCACATGAGGTATCTCCTGTTAGAAACAAGTCATCTAGACAACAGGATGAAGAAAGATGATTTAGGAATCACTGTACTCCCTTAATAGTAAATGAAAAAGCCTGAACGTCATATTTCAAGAAAGCATAAAAGAATGAACATGGTTAACATAAAGAAGTATGGAAAGACTTACATGAACTGATGCAGAGTGAAGTATCAGCAATGACTACAACAATGTAAATGGATAGACAACAACAAAACAATTAAACTTGAATGCTACAAAAGTATAATGACCAACTTTGGCCTCAAAGAAGAGATAGGATCCTTGCCTCTTTGTAGAGATGAGCCACCCAGGGTGTAGAACACTACAAATAACATCTGACTTTTTTGATACGTTGTTTCATTTTGTAGGACTTATTTTTCTTTATTCCACTTTTTATTTTTTATTATGAGATGTGGCTTTCTGGAAGAGGCAAGAAGCAGGATATAGTAGAAAATGTAAATGGTATGAAAACAAAAGACATCAATAAAATTTTGTATTAAAGTTTTTTTTAACTGCCCAAAACTATTAGAACTTAAGGACAAAGTGAACCAACATGTCCCTGCTTGAGGTAAATCTTAAATTTAAGTCTCAGAATTTTGATTGTCAAACTCTAGAATTTTCATGTAAAAAAAGTATACTGTAAGAAGCCAAGAAGATATCAGACACCAAGGAAAAACAGTCAGGATCACGTAAGATTATGCAACAGTTACTATAAATGAATGGAAATCTTGGAATAAAGTAAACCAAAAGGCAAGAGAAAAAGACTTAGAGTGAAGAATAACATCTTACAAAGAGGAACATAATGCTAAGGGAGAAAAATGGATCTTCAATAGAGTAGATGACAGCAAAGCATTCATGGTGAAAAAAACAGAGCTAGGTAGAGTTTTTGAAATGTAAATGCAGGAGATGAGAGAAACCTAGAAAGGCAAAATAAGTTCAAGCAATTTGAAAGAATAAATGATAATCAAGTACTTTTATCCTAATTGGGGGAAGTAACTGTTGTCCCTTCAGAATGTAACTTTCTTCAAGGGTCAAAATAGCAAGGAAAGACAAACTCAGTGTCTGAATATGGGGTGATTTTGTTTTGTTCTTAATAGAAAAAAAGGAATATGGGGTATTAATGCATTATAACAGAAAAGAAGAAGGAAGTTTAATAGTTCTTCATAATTGTGGCACAACTGAAGAGTAAGATATACAAGTAAGGAAGAGGTGGGATGAGGAAAGCCAGCATCTTAAAAACTTTATTCATCTCAGCAAGGCCAAAGAAGGATGGACAAAAAAAAATGCAGAAAAACAATAAAGTAACTAGGAAAGTAGGACCAGAGAGAGAGTCAGTGTGTGTGTGTGTGTGTGTGTGTGTGTGTGTGTGCGCACGCGCGCAGAATTTAAAAAGAGGTAAAGTTGTGAGGGAATAGGCACAACAAAACAAGTATCAACTATGCAGGACTGATTACAAATAAAGTGTTAAAAGAGGTAAGGAAGAACATTGTGATCTAGGACTAGGATAGGCAAAAAGAAGGCAAGAAGAGAAGTGGCATCTCTTCCAATCATAGACCTTAGTGTTGATATCAGTCCCTTTATTTTACCATCATTTTCTTTGTAAAGAGAAAGGAGGCAAACATAAAAAGTAATCACTAGAATAACATATGAATGAGGGAGAAACAAATTTAAGAATCATAACTGTGAATGTCAATTGGAATAAGTTTGTCTGTGAAATGTAGTAAACAGAACAGATTAGAAAGAGGTCGTTTTGATTCCAAGTCCAGCACTTCATCCACTGTATAACTTAGCTGCCTCTAAAAAATTTAACAAATTGGAAAAAGCTGAATGAAATGTTAAGCACATCCAATAATGACTACAATGAAATAAAACTGTTCAGGAAAATTTGAAGAAAGGATTTAAATTTAAGTGGAGCCTAATATAATCTTAAAGAATGAATGGGTCAAAGAAAAAGTAGAAATACTATCTGTCAAAAGAAATGATAACAATGAGACTTCTGTGATGGTACAGCATCTTTGAAGGTGGCTTCCTGCTTTTTTTTGGTAAAGGAAAAATCTTATCTCTTATGTGTGTTACAGGTGCCTGGATACCACATTTTGAGAAATCAGGGGGAAAATGCTCCAACCTTATAAAAACAGAAAGAATTTGTCAAAGAGCTCTTGAAAGGAAACTCCAGATGAAAACTCTGAGTAATATCACAGCCAAAATCCAAAGCTTCCCAGCCAAGGAAAAATTGCTGAAAGTTGCCAGAAAGACAGAATTCAAGTACAGAGAATCCACAATTGGAATCACACGAGATTTGGTTCCTATCAAGTAAAAGAAAGAAGAGCTTGGGATGATATTTTCAAAAGGAAAAACAAAAAGAAAAAAATAGGCTTAAAACCAAGAATAACTTACTTAGAAAAACTGAATATAATCTTAGAAGGGGAAAAATGAATTTTTAAAGAAATAGAAAACTTCCAAGCACTCTTAATGAAAAAACAAAAACAAAAACAGAAATACTGTATACTGTGTTTGAAGTGCAAACATATAGGTCAAGAGGAACATAAAAAGGTAAATAAGCTTGAGCAATTATAATAGATTATATAGAGCAAAGAAACATGTTATCTCAGAGCCTAAATGTCATCAAAGATTATAATGGGAATTAAATAAGATAAAGGTTTAGGGAGTTGTTTTGTTATATTTTTATTATCTTAAAAGAAAAAAGAAAATGTAGGGGAAAAGAAATACACTAGAGAAGAAATGGGAGAAAAATTTCCTATCTTACATAATCTGGGTGCTCAAGTAGAAGAATGTGCAAGTAAGAATATGCAAACAAGTTGGGGGAAGCGGTTATTACCTGAACCTCACTTTCATGTGAATGAGTCAAAGAGTATAGAAAACACCCCCCCCACACACACACACCCGTGCACAAGAATTTGGAAAATTTGTAAGTCTAAACTCTTTCACCAACAAAAGAGAGAAAGAACAGATCCATGAATCTAGCATGCAACTAAATAAACCAGAAAACCAATAAATTAAAACACCTCAATTAAACACAAAACAAAGATATTAACAAAAGTGAAAGCAAAAAACCACTGAATTAATAAATAAAATGAAGTTATTAAAACAAAATCAACCATTACCTAATTTGATTTTTTAAAAAGAAAGAGGAAAACTAAATTATAAGCATCCAAAATGAAAAAGACAACTTCACCAAGAAAGAAGAGTAGAAATAAAATAAATTGTTAGAAACCATTTTACTTAATGATATGCCAGCTATGTAGTACAGTGGATAGACAGCCAGATTCATCTTCCTGAATCCAAATCTGGCCTGAGACATAAGCTATGTGATGCTGGGAAAGTCACTTCACCCTGTTTCCCTTAGTTTCCTCATCTGTAAAATGAGCTAGAGAAGGAAATGGCAAACCATTCCAGTATCTCTACAAAGAAAACCCCAAATAGAGTCATGAAGAGTCAAACACAATTGAAAATGACTGAACAACAAATGCCAACAAAATCGACAACTTACATGAAATAAATGAATATTGACAAAAATATAAATTTCCATATTAACAGAACAAGAAACAGATAATTTAAATAACCCAATCACAGAAAAAGAAACTGAATAAGCCATAAATAAACTCCCAAAGCAAAAAAACAAACAAAAAAGGCCCCCAGAACCAATGGATTTATAAGTGAATCCTATCAAACTTTCAAAGCAAATTGGTTCCAATATTGTATAAACTGCTTACAAAAACAGGAACAGATGAAATTTACTAAATTCTTCTCATAACACAAAGATGTTTTGAACACCTAAACCAGAAAAGGTCAAGATGGAGAAAGGAAACTAAAGACCAATATTTTTAATGGATGATACAAAAATTTTAATTAAAATATAGGCAAAGAGACTATATAACATATCAAAAAGATTTTCCACTTTGACCAAATTGTATTTATATCAATAATGCAGGGTTGGTTCTATATCAACATGTGTGGGAAAAGTGAAAGCTTCTCATATGAAATGGAAGCTATGCTCCAAAATTTAGTTAAGGCTTTAGCATTAGCTGGGCCTAAGTTTCGGTTTCCTGTAAATCATGTGATGGGGTCATATATCTGTTGCCCACCCCCTCCCTTGTTTTGTAACCACCACCCCAGCCTTATCTTTGCCAAATAAGGCAATCTTCTAGCTCCCAAGCTTGTTTTGGGTAAAATGTATCTCTTAGTTTCTGGGTAGAATGTAAGGTCTCTTACCTCAACCAATGAGGATAAAGAGATTGAGGTAAACAAGTGGGGAGGGGGTTTTTCTTAGAGTTGTTTGTCTGAGGGTAGATAACTGCTTGCTTACTACTTTGTATCCTGCCTCTCTACTCCAGTCTGCCCTGGGTAGGTGATTCCCAGTTCTCCCACAAAACTTGCTAGAATAAAACTTCTGTTTCTACTGAGAAAAACCTCTGAATTTTATTTTGGGTAGGTGGTCTCAATCCCACTCAAACAGAAGTATTGAAATAAGATACCATATTAATAACAATTTAAAAATCATGATTTTATCAAGATGTATAAAAAAGCTTTTGAGAAAATACAACATCCATTTCTTATATTAAAAAAACACTAAAAAAACCCCCAAAAAACCAAAACCAAAATTTTTTTCTTACTATGTTAAGTAGTATCTTTCTAAGACAAAGATACAGAGTTATATGTAACAGGATAAATGAGAGGCCTTTCCAATAAGATCAGAGATAAAGAATATCCATTATCATCACTCCTATTTGATAAAGTGCTAGTCACTCTACTTATATTAAAAGACAAGAAAAATTATAAACTTTTTTCAGATGATATGTTGGTTTACTTAAAAAACCATAATATTAATTAAAAATTAATTGGAACAATTAATAACTTGAGCAAATTTGTAGGTTATAAATTCAAACCCCATAAATCATCATCATTTCTGTATATTACCAATAAAACTCAATAGGAAGAGATAAAAAAAGAAATTAAATTTAAAATAACTATCAAATATACAAAATACTTTGGAATCTACCAACAAAGATACTCACAGAAACTATATGCATAGAACTACAAAATACTCTTTATGGAAATAAAGACAGACCTAAGTAATTAGAGAAATATTAATTGTTCATGGCTAGGCCTAGCTATGATAATAAAAATGAAAATACCAAAATTAACTTATTCAGCATCATAACAAAGGATTACTTTTTAGAGCTAGAAAAAAAGAAAATGTCTTCATTTCTTCTGAAGAAAGGTCAAGAATATAATGAAAAAAGGGGAAAGAAAGAGGCATGGCAGTGGCGAGGTAGATGATGTTTGGAGTTGGGTTATCCATAAAGAATTCAGATTCTCCTAGTGAAGAGAGCTGTATTGTCACAAAAGTGGTAGGCTAGCTCTTAGGAGCACTAGCAACCTGAGCTAAGACAGGGCCTTACTTTTGTATCCAAGTTTTGGCACTCAGCTAGTGATGGGGAATATGCTCCTATGTGGAGCATATCCACAAAGAAGGATGTCAGGAACTGGGAAGCAGGTGTGTAAGGGGAGGCAGGGAAGGAGCCGCAGGTGTGTCTGTTCTGGATTCCTTATCGGAATTTAAATCCAAAACAGCTCAGGGATGTGGTCACAAAACAGACAACTTAACTTGCAACATTCAAGGATATGGTTACAAATCATGGGGTTAGTCAAGTATACAGAAAATGACAAGGTTTTCTTGTCAACGGATACAACCCCCTGTTACCTGGCAGATTTAGATTTAGGCAAGGCTAGCATTGTTGCTGGGCAGAAGTCAGCCACATGCAGTAGCAGTAGATCACAAGCCATACTATAAGTAGTAATCATCAGAATGATCTGATACTAGTTAAAAAATAGGCAAATAAATGGGACAGATTAGATTCACAGCATGCAGAAGTAAACCATCTTAGTAGCCTTGCCCAAAGTCCCAAACTATTACAGTTACTACGTAGGTGGCCTTGTGCAAATACCTTTCTTAGCCTAAGTTTCTCCACCTGTAAAATGGGTAGAAATTTACAATCTACCTCAAATGGGTTAGGAGGAAACATTTTGAAAAAAAATTTTTACTTATAGCTTTGGGCACCACTGTTCCGCAGGGTGACATTTTCTATTTTGGGTTCCCTGCTTCAGTCCCTCAATTCCATAAAAGTTTATTATGCCTCTTTTGAGGTGCAAGGCCTGCTTCAAGTCCAGTATAAAAATTATGTTGCTTTGCACCAGTCCAAACATCGGTATCTACCATGTGGTATGGGCCAGGGAAACCACTTTACACCTTCTGCTCTCTGTTCCGCCCCCTCTATTCTTCTCCTTAGCCAATCACGAAGCAGTTCGCTCTGTGCAAGTTTCCCCCCCCACCAACGCCATCCCGGAACCGGAAGTTGCCAAAAGACAGGCGACGTAATTGTTGTTTCCTCGAGAGTCTCCATTTCTCCTGCCGTTTCTAGGCGGGGCAGGGAAAGAGGACACTGATTGGCTCTCTAGCCCATCGCTCTCCATTGCTTCGGCTTCCCATTGGCAGCTTTAGGGGCCGCCCCTTTGGGCAGGGCGGGAGATTCGGTGTGTGGCCCGGGTGGGTCCCCTTCCTTGTTCCCTTAGACATCCGTCCGGGTCTCGGGCAGCCAGTGGCGATATTTCCACGCTTTCGTCAGGCTTCGACTGCCGTGCTGACGCGGATGAACCACTGTTAGAGCTGTTCCTTCACCTTCTTCAGCCTCGGGCCGTCGGTCGGGTGAGTATGGGAGCGGTGGCTGGCGGGGAGGCCGGGCGGGTTCGGGTCCAGCCGCGCCGGCCTGGGGGGGCCGTGCCGCTGCCGGTCTTCTCAAGCCGGAGGTTGGGGCTCGGGTGGGCGGGTTTCCGAGTCCGCGTTTCCTCCTCCCCTTGGGAGGCTTCCTTGGCCCAGGCGGCAGGCGTGGCGTTCCAGGCTCGCGCTGGGGGAGGGGGCGCTCCTGCTTCGAGGCCCCGCCCCTGAGATGCTGGTGGGTGGGAAGGCTTTCGGGAGACCCTGGCTGCCCGTGGCAGGCATGTGGTGGAGCGATTTGGTTTGGCTGTAGGGCTGTACTAGGACCCCTGCACCCGGGGCAAGCCTTCGTTCGTCTTGTCCCTCAGTTTCTTCTTCCTGTAAAACAGGGACAGTAGTGTTTCAAGTAAAGCTTTTGGTGAATTTCTGTTGTTATTTGAGTCCTGACAACTGTTTTCCAGGACGGTCGTTATTTCAATGATATAATTAACGTTTTGTTCTATTGTTTCATTCTTTTGATTTTGTTTGCTTCTTGACATGTCATGAAGTCCTTAGGTTCCACTTGCCCAATTCTTATTTTTAAGGGCGCGGGGATCTTCTCATTTTTTCTTTGCATTTCAGCCCACTCCATCCCTCCCAACTCCAGCTCCTCCCACTATTTATAGATGAATGAATGAATGCTGTTTAATTTTAGTTATCTGTGCAGACCTTCAGATGGCTTTATTTTCAACACTACCGACAGTCCAAACTTGTGAAGTCTGAAAAAGTCCTTTTGACTGAACCAGGCTGATTGGGGCAGAGATCAGTTGGGATTCTTCTGCCCATACCTAGGTCTATACATACATCTGGTACTGCACTCAATTGATACTTGATTGATTTATCACATAGAATTCGGATGTGACAGTTACCTGGTATCAATGCAACTAATAAACAGGTACTGAACAGTGGATAGAATGCTGGGGCTGGAGTCAGGAAGAAATGTGGCTTCGGACTCATACTAGCTCTGTGACCCATGGCAAATGACTAAATGTGTGTTTGCTTCAGTTTCTTCAACTGTAAAATGGAACCCTTGCCACACAGGATTCCTTGCTATGAGGATCAGATGAGTTATTTGTAAAAAGCTCTTAGCTCAGTTCCTGGGTAGTAGGTGCTGTATAAATGCTTATTCCCTCTCCTTTCCTTTTCTATGTCTATAAATAAGACCTTTTTAAATATAAATTGTACAAATGAATTTAAAAGGGGGAACAAAAAGAATCTAAAATATATAACTTCACTAAACACTTCAAAAGACTGCTTATACCCAGTAATTACTACGTGATAGGATAACTAACTGATGGTTACCAGACTTCTGGTAAAGATTGTATTTTAGCCATACATAACATTAAATTTTAAATTTGCGTAAATGGGCTTGGTATGAATCTTTTGAATGATTTCTTTATTATTTCTGTTAAGGTTGATAGTGATGAACCATTTGAAGCTACAAGAAGTCAAGATGCTGCAAGTTCAGTTCGTAGGGGATGATGATGTTCTTAATCACATTCTTGATAAAGAAGAAGGTACAGATTGTCTTTAATGATGCTTGTTTAATGTTTGAGTCTTTTTCACCTTTAGGTAGATGACAATATTTTTGTTTCTTTGAATGTCAGAAATATTTGGTCTAACACACTAACATTGTTAAATAAAAATCCTTTATTTCTGAGTTTTCCTTTTTTTAAACTTTGTAACTAAGAAATCAAATTAGCAAAGTTATATAAAAAATTTGTGAGATTGCTTAGCAATAGTTAATTCTAGTTACAGAATTATGCCAGTTTTGTCAGTTGAGGTTGAGAGGGTTGTGTTTGAAATTTAAATTTCTAATTTGAAATATTTTTGAAGGTTGGAATTAACTCAGTTTTAGAAGAGTATGTGCCCCTTCTCACTAAATACAGTTTTATTTTTCTTTTCCATCTTTAAAAAATTTAGAAAATATAAAAATAATACGAAGAGAAAAACATTTTTGTAATTTAGTATTCAGATAATTCAAAATTTAGGTAATTTTGGTTTTTTTGGTTATTATTGCAGGGGCTAAATTTCGAAAAGATCGAGCTCAACTCTTAGTCAATGTGAAGAAACTAATGAAGAAGCAGGAAAGTGACCAAAATGAAGACGACCAGGAGGATTTAAAAGATGAGAACTATGTGGATATTTTAGGAGCAGACACTCAAGGTATTTATTGAAAAAAAAAGTTAGCTCCAAATAGAAATTGGCTAATTGCCAATATGTAAAAATACCATACTTTAGGATAAGTAGAAAAATGTTGCTTATAAATGAAGACTGTGTTTTTGACTTAACATCAGCCAGATAGAGAGAGCCTAAGTCAAGAAGACAGACCTGCGTTTAAGTCTTGCTTCTGACATACTGGCCATGTTACTTTAATACTTACCAGATAAGTAAAAAAAAAAAATCACTTTTTCTTTTGGGCAACTCTGACACTCTCTGTTTTGGAGGAGGTACTGACCTGCATTTGTAGAGAGATTTTGCTTACTGTGGATTTCCCTGTACCAAAGAAATCATAGGTATAGGCCCCGCCTTTTGTCAGTAAAGCCTGTATTGATTGTTTTTCTATGTATGAAGATAAATTTGTATAGCTCCATTGATATTTTGACCAAGTCTCTTATGTGAGAAAAATTGGCTGAGAAAATTGGCCCAAATTGGCATTGAATCCATAACTTTAGCTTTTTAAAAACAGTATATTGATCCGTTGAGTGAATGGCAACAGAATGAGAAATGATCCCTGTGTGACCACATCTAATTAGGGACCCAGCAATCCTTGTTGACTCTTATTTTAAAAAAAATACCACATACTGTTATTTTAAAAAATGAAGGTTAATAACTAACACTCTCTAGCTTAAATTTCAGTTGATTTAATTTAGTTCTTATTACTAACTATTGCACATCTCCTTTTCTTTCTTAGACTCCTTGAAAAATGGCCGTATTGCAGGTGGTAGCAACAAAGTTTATTCTTTTCAGACCAGAAAAAATCCTGAAAAGATGGCAGAGCTGGGTATGTTGTTAATTCTTGATTTGTTTTTTCTCATCCAAGAACAAATTCAAGAAACTTTGCTTCACTAGCCTGTCCCCATGCTGAGTGTTCTCTTTGTACTTTGTGACTAGTGAGATTTTTCAGTTTGCTTACATTGTCTCACTTGTTTATGTTCTTTAATAGTTTAAATTTATGAATGTTTGTTTTATATTCCTAGTAGTATTAGAAATTCCTCAAGGCCAGGGACTGACTTTTATTCTTTTTGTATCTTGTATGATAACTAGCCTCTCTTATTTCCCATATATTTCTCATGGCACAAAAGAAAATAAAAAGAAGGAGAAACAACTGGACCAGTTACCTGTAGGGGAGATCTCTCTTGACATTAATGCAATTAGAGGGAACGATAGACAAGTTATCTGAAGGAAGGAAGATCCTGGGAAAAATTCTTGTACTTTATTAATACTTAAAAAAGGTGACAGAACATTAGTATTTGTTGACCTAAATACCAACTTTCCCCTCTATACAAAATAATGTTTCTCAATGAGGACATCAGTAGGGAACAATCAGGCTTTATAAAGATATATTTAAGAATAAGACCACATTTTTATCATTTCATCATTAACTGAAATACATAGAAATTATAAGATGCCCTTGTTCTTCTTGTTTGTTATTAGGTAGAACAAAGAAGATTATAGGCTCTTCTATTGCAAGGTGTCTCCTACCCATGTATTAAAGTGATTCAGAATTTCTTGAAAAACATAACAAAAATACTTTTGCTCATAATAAACACCAGGAGAGGCATAAAATGGAGATATATGAATTATTGAATAAATGAAAAAAAGTGTTAAATATTAAGCACTTACTGTGTGCAAAGTACTTGTGCTTAATGTTGGGGATGCGAACAGGAAAAACAAGGCAGTCCCAGTCCTCAAGGAGCTCACACTCTTAACTGGAGAAGACAACACGTATAGGTAATTTTGGTCACAAGGCAGATGGCAAGGCCACTGGGGTCCTTAGGGTGCATCAGCAAAGTAGATAATAAAGCAGTCTTATCTTCTGTGTTGTCTTTTCTACTGCCAAACCCTTAACCGTTCTGATGTTGAAGAGTTTGACAGCAATAAGAAATTTGGTGGGAAGATGGGTCATTAGTGGTATGTCTGGGTCTGGTGCTGTTTCACAGGATATGTCTGGTAGGTGCTGGTGCTGCTGCTCATGATGGAAAGTGAACTAGGTCCAGAATTTAATAGAACAAAGAGAGTTGCCTGATTGCATATGGGAGATTGTGCCATACTCTTAGTGATGCCAAACTTTTCTCTGCAATAAAAAGCCATTTTTAAGACACTGATATTCTTTTGATAATACTCTGTGAATGTGAATCATGTAATGTTACAACATCCAAAGAATCAAAATTATAGGAGTTGTGGGTTGGGCCTGTCACAGACCCTTCTCCTGGTAATTTATGGTCAATATTGGAATGAAATGAGACTTGTACATCATTCAGCAATAGGAAAAATAGATTTATTCAGCCCTGCCAAGAGAAGCATATGCATCAAGGACACCACAAATTGATCCAACTGAATGAAACTCTTCTTCCTCTGCATTGACCATAGTGATCTTATAGCCAAGCATCAGGGAGTTCTTGGAGCTCCTCATGGCTATTACATATTCAGGAGACCAGGAAGAGGCATCAGGAGCCTGAGTCTTTAGTCCCCTGAGCCAATTAAGCCTTGAATAAAGTTGAATGCCATTTTAAGAGAAAACTAGCATAATTTGCATGGGGATGAGGTGGGCTGGATGTTGTTGGTCACCAGAGGGCAGTGGGAAGATGTACTAATTTCTTATCAGTTAGAACCAGTGGGGGCTGCAGCATTTGCAGAAAAGTTGCCAGGTCACAGTTCCACAGGAGACACTACTTGAATGATGGATGGAGGGATTAGACTGGAAAAAAGGCTTGTGGTCTGGGGGGCTGCTATTCCTGAGGCTTTTGGGCTTACCTACTTGACCATGACAGTTGGTCAGTGTTTGGTATTGATTGTGGTGTGAATGACAGGCCCCTTCTTCACAGGAGTTGGTCCACTTGACGACAGCTGTGAGACCAGGCTGGAAATAGTACTTGTGATCTCCTGGTCCTGTTACTCCCAGGTTTCTAGGCTGTGGATCAAAAGCTGTTTCCAGCAGAGCCAGAGTGGAGGTGGTGATCAAAGGGATAATGGTAGTTTTTGACTCACCTGACTTTTCCCTCAGGACTTCTTGTGGCTTCAACTAGACTGGCTTTCATCCCTCATATATGGTAGTTGCTTCATGTTCCCATTGCCCTTTGAGTGACCCGAAGTTTTGATTCTTTAGATGCTATGTTTTTCTGTGATTCACAAATACCATCCCCAGAAGTGTGCCAGTGTTTTAAAAATACATTGTACTGAACCATCCAAATGCATATTGTAGTCTAGATTGACTACAGACTGTTTTCATCCATTGTTTCTTCCTCTGGATTCAATTCAGTTCCACCAGGTATTACTAAGAACGTACTGTATGCCAGGCACAGGATGATCAAGTGTCCCAGGAAAAGATACTTCTGATTTAGCCTTGGTATGAGCGATAAAACCAGTTTCATCAATGTCTTCATTTGCTTCTCCAAAGATAGTCTGGGAGTTATCCTTCCATTTAGCTTTAGCTTCTTTATACTGTGCCTCCTGATTTCACTTAAAGAATGTCAACATTGATATAACACAGATTTTAAGAGTACATCAGCTCATTGATCATTGGACAAGAATTTCATTTTGATCATCTTGAGTAGCAGTGGTTAGATTCCTATTTCTAGACAGTTGAAAAACTAGTTCTTTGTGGCGCAGGTAGGTGGCGCAGTGGATAGCACACCGGCCCTGAAGTCAAGAGGAACTGAGTTCAAATCTTGTCTCAGATCAAACACTTGACACTTACTAGCTTTGCTACATCCCACCCTCTCTGCCCCATGCCTTTCCCTCTAACTCTCTTCCTTCTCCTTCACTTTTCTCTTCCCTCTTTCTCTCCTCCTCCCTCTGCCCTATTCCTTTCCTTCTTCCTCTTTTCCCTCTTCTTTCTCTCCCTCTCCTCCTGCCCCTCTTTATCCTTTTCCTCCTTTCTCTTCTTCCTTTTCTTTCTCCCCCTCTTTTTCTGTTTCTTCTCTCTCTCCCCCTCTCCCACTCTCCCATCTCTCTCTACCCCTTTTCTTCTTTCCTCACTCTCTGGCCCTCTTCTCTCCTCATTGGCTGTCTCTTTCTCTTATCTACCTCACTATCCTGATAAACTTTAAATTCATCATGGTACTAGTGAAGAAGGGAATCAAGAGACCCATAGCAGAGATTTTCATGAAAACAATATTTTTCTTTCCATTAAAGTAGACTTATACACTCTCTCAGAGCTTGTGCTGCAGTGGCACAGCCTTTGAGAACCAGGTCATCTCCATACAGTAGTGAGCAGCATCCCAGTTGGACTTTCATGAAAGTTTCCTGAGTTTGAGGCCAGCCCTCTGTCCACTACCCATTGTGCCTCTGATTCTGTTTATTTGAGCTCTTCAGTTGTTTAGATCTAATATGTAGATGTTCACTGTATATAAGTGTAGTATAGTTCATTTTTCTGGTTTAATTTATTGTAGTTCATTGAGTAGTTTTTGTGTATCTCTTTTGGATATTGACATTGTTTTTTCTTTTTAGCTTATGAACTAGCAAAAACACCAGGGAAAAGCATTTCACTGATTTCTAAGGAGAATGCTGAAAAGATGGCAAGCACCTCACAAAGTATCAAGAGTAAGTAGTTGAGCCTTAGAGTGAAAATATAGCTAGTGTGTTTCACCATCTTTGAAGCAATCTTTTTCTCATTTATTTGGATGTTCTTTTATTAGTTTAATGATATAGAATTTTTTTTCCATTTTTCCTTTTGATCTAAGTAAAATTTTCACTTTTTTTCTTTCTTCCAATTTTGAAATGAAAATTCATCTCTGCATGAGTATGCACACAGAGTCAAAATTCAGCAGTAGAAACAAAATCTAGGTACTAACTAAATTAAATTTTTATGGTAGGACCAACAATGAAACATATTTCATTTCTTATTGTCACATTCTGAATTATCTCAACTTTTCTCAAGGTCTGTCAAAGCTCTTCTCCCTACAATTGGTAAAACTCAGGAAGAACAAACTCTAGAAGACTTTACAAATTGTTATAAAGAACTGGAATTTTCATTTCTCATATATTGATTTAACTGATGGGGACTTGTTTGTGGAATTTTTTTGTCTTTATTTAAACTACACATCAGGTTAGCCTAAACATAATTTGGGGTCATCAGGAAGGAACTGCTTTAGTTCTTCATTCTGTCATAGAAAAATTGGAAATAAGTAAAGTAATATAATAGGAATAATTGTGGAATTGATAGTGAAAATTTGAGGTACATTTAAAGAATTTAATATTCAGGTAGTGCCATATAATCTCTTAGGAATAATGACTTAGACAACTTGGCGCTTGAGTACTTAATGAAACCGAAGTAAATGTGCTAAAATATAAAATAACTAATATAATATTCAGTAAAATTTAATTTTATGTTTACTTTATAGAGCAATCCACATCAGATAAAGACCAGTTAAAGGTAAGCAGTGAAGTAATGCATTAAGAATTGAGTAATTTTAAAATAGTATTTCATACTAAGTTGAGTAAGCATAAAAATCTGTTTCTCTTACTGATTTGTGTTTTCTCAACATAAATATTGAAATTCACCTGACCAGTTTCTAGTTTTCATGTAAATTTTTGGTTTGTTTCTTGTATGTTACAGCTAATTTCTAATTTCTAAGGTTACTAATTTATCCTTTTTAAGATTTAAATTTAAAGAACTGAGAATTAAATACAAAGAAGAAAACTTTCCAGGCCTGCCTAACAAGTACATATTTATTTTTTCTTTTTCCTCATAGGATAATTGAGTTTGAAGGGACCATATCATTTATTTCAAATTTTCTTTTTTGACTGAACTTAAAACACAGCAAATATGGACATTTTAATATATAAATAAGTATAGAAATAGAAGATTGCATAAGAAACTATAAATCTCTTGTAGAGCTTGTTTTTTTTAAAAAGTGTGTATATTACGTTTATTTTATGTATATATGTGTGTATATATGTATGTGTGTGTGTGTATACACACACACACACACACACACACACATACACACACCACATGTGTTAGAGGCTGAGGAAAAGAAAAGTAAAAAATGAAACAGTTCCTTGTCTCAAAGGAGTTTATATTCTACTGAAGGAAAACAATATAGACACAAATAAGGACATATAGATATATAGATATTTATTTGTTTGTTTATTTACTCATTCATTCATCTACTCATTCGCTCATTCATTTATTTATTAATTTATTTGTGGTGTATATGTTAAAATTTGATATGTGTACCAGTATTGCCCAGCTTTTCTGTCCATGTTCCCTTCTGAATTGCTTTTTTGCATATTTTTAAATATTTCATTAATACACTACTATGGCCTATTCACTCTCTCCCCAGCCCATAAATAAAAGCTCTCCCTTGTAATAAATTAAGTTTACTCAAGAAAGAAATCCATACCTTGTCCACGTCTGAAAAGATTTTGTTCCTTCTCTAGTCCATTATCTCTGTCAAGAGGTAGGTCACACGTTTCATCATCTGTCTTCCAAAGTCCTTATTTAATCCCCTAGTTTTCAGATGTGGAAACAGGCCCAGAGAGATTAAATGACTTGCCCCAAGTTACACAGGTAGTAAGTAGTAAGGAGTCCAGATCTAATGCTCTTGCCACTAAACTTTACACTTGTTTCCAATAATCCTTGTTTATTAACATCATTGTATAGATATAAATATGAAATCAACTATAAAAACAACCTGTACGGATCTCTGGAAAGGCAGATAAAATTAAAAAACCATCTCTGTGCTCTAGAATTTACATATTCCTGGAGGAAAGTGGTGATCATTTTTTGGGGCTTAGCTTTATTGTTGTGTTTTCTTTAATCCTGTTCCTCATGTATGGTAGAAACTCTGCATAGTATATTATCAAATGTATAAAGACTTTTAGCAATTTTCCTGACAAAAAATGGAGTATAGCTTCTTGGATACTCACTATTTGAGATTCTTGTTGTCATGCCTGCCATCCTGTAGCAGTTTGTGCTTGTTATTGTTAAAATTGTTATTGTGCTTGTGTTGTTAAAACTTCATGTGATACTTAGTAGATCTTTCCTGAATGTCTTGTAGAATTTAATAGTATCTTCAAATTTGCCTAACCGCTGTGTTTATCACCATCATTATGGAGACTGCTGTATATCTGTATTTAAAAAAGCATAACATTGTTATGCTTTGTTTAAAGCCTTCTTAAAAATTGTATTCTAATATAGTGGTAATTGGTTAGGTTTTTTTTTAATCATCTCCTAGCTTTTTAATAAAAAGCAGTTTTTTTCTAATCATTTAACTTATAGGGAGTTGGTAAGGTTCTATAAAGATGTCAGCCAAATGTCAAATAGAAAGCTGTATATTTGATACTCTGAAAAGAGAAAGTGAAATAGGCAGTTGTGGATTAGAGTTTCTGTTGCTGGCAAGGGAACATGCTATTAAGGTCTCTTTCCAGTTTTTCCTGGATGAAAAAAGATGCATTAACTCTTAATAATCTGAATACTGAGGGGAATGCAGAGAAAGTGCTTTAAGACAGAAAATGATTGTGATGAGCATCAACCTTCAGGGGGAAAAGAAGTCACTGGAGAAAATGTTGAAGCCCAAATGAAATTTTAACTTTGTGGGTGTTTCAACATAGAATCAAATGGCATGAGAAACAGGAACAAGAGAATAACTAGATTGGCCTTAGCGCAAATAGAGCCTTGGTTGTTGTGGCAGCAGATGAAGTTAGCTGGGCAGAGCCTTTGGATCTCAATTCATTCTGAAGTTTGGAACGGTTCTGTAAAGGGTCCAGCTTTTATTGCTTTTGGCCAGACAGTTACAGGACATAAGGAGCCAAGGGGTAGGTGATTTTAAATTATAAATCAGGTCAAAGTAAATTTGTTTTGCTCATCTGTAAAATGGGGATGGTGATAATAGCACCTACCTCCCTAGGCTGTTGAAAGGATCAAATTAGATAGTAATTGTAAACATTGCAAAATTCCTGGCACATATAAAGTAAGTACTGTATGAATGTTAGCTATTATTGTTGTTGTTAAGTGAAATTTGGCTAAAAGGATAGATAATATTTTGAGTTGTTTTTAAAAGAATTTGATCTATCATTCATTAAATATGTGCAGTGCACCACACTAGGCATTAACAGAAATTCGGAGAAAAATAAGACATATTTTTATCCTCAAGTAGCTTATAATATAGCTATTTATTGTTGTCTTTTCTTTTATCCTGTTCCTCATGTACGGTAGAAACTCTGCATAGTATATTATCAAATGTATAAAGACCTGTAAAGTGTTGAATTATCTGTAATTGCATGATTGAGCAGGAAATAATTTTAATGTTATTATTCTAAAATGGAAATTAGTTAATACCATAGTAGAATTCAACAAGTATTTGTTGAGTCCCTACCATGTGTTAGAGGCTGGGGAAAAGAAAAGTAAAAAACAAAACAGTTCCTTGCCTCAAAGGAGTTTATTTTCTACTGAAGGAAAACAATATAGACACAAATAAGGATATACAGAATATATACATGGCAAATTATAATCCACTTTGCTGTCTGCTTCCGTTTTATGGGTGATTCATCCCATTCACAGTTATGATTACTAACTGTTTTTTCCTCCATCCTGCTTTTTTCCCATTCATCTTTCTTTTTCTCCTTTCATCTTGTCCCTCTTCAAAAGTGTTTTGCTTCTGATCTCTGCCTCCCCCCAGTCCACCCTTTCTTCTACCTGCCGCCCTCCCTTTTCTCTCATTCCTTTCCCTTCCTACTTCCCTGCAAGGTAAGATAGATTTCTATACCCACCTAAGTGTATGTTATTCCCTCTTTGAGCCAGTTCTGATGAGAGTAAGCTTCAAGTGTTGCCTGCCACCTTCACCCCCCATTTTTCCCTCCACTGTAAAAATTATTTTGTGCTGCTTTTATTTGAGATAATTTATCCCATTTTACCTTTCTTTCCCCCTTCTCCCAGTGCATTCCTCTTCTCACCCCTTATTTTTTTTAATGTCATCTCTTCATAGTCAACTCACACCTGTGTCCTCTGTCTATATATACTCCTTCTAACTGCCCTAATAATGAGAAAGTTCTTAGGAATTATAAGCATCATTTTCTTATGTAGGAATGTAAACAGTTTTGACCTTAATGAATCCATTACAGTTTCTCATTCCTGTTTACCTTTTTATGCTTCTCTTGAGTCTTGTATTTGAAAGTCAGATTTTCTCTTCAGCTGTGGTCTTTTCATCAGGAATGCTTGAAAGTCTTCTATTTTATTAAATGTCCAACTTTCCCTGAAGGATTATACTCAGTTTTGCTGGGAAGGTGACTGGATTGTAGTCCTAGTTCCTTTGACTTCCAGAATATCATATTCCAAGCCTTCTGATCTTCTAATGTAGAAGCTGCTAAACCTTGTGTAATCCTGACTTTGGCTCCATGATACTTGAGTTGTTTCTTTCTGGTTGTTTGGAATATTTTCTCCTTGACCTGGGAGCTCTGGAATTTGATGATAACATTTCTGTGAGTTTTCATTTTGGTATCTCTTTTAGAAAATTCTTTCAGTTTCTATTTCTAGCATATCGGGGCAGTTTTCCTTGATGATTTCTTTTTATTTATTTTTACTTTCACATTAGTGATGTTGTAAGGAAGAATTAGAATCAATAAAAGGAATCACAAGAAAGAGGAAACAAAACAAAACAGAAGGAAAAAAAAGAGCTTTGGTCTGCATTCAAACTCCATAGTTCTTTCTTTGGATGTGGGTAGCATTTTCTATAATGAGACTTTTGGAGATGTCTTAGATCTTTGCATTGCTGAGAAAGGGCTAGGTTTATCAAAGTTAAGTCATCCCACGGAGTGGCTGTTATTGTACACACCATTCTTCTGGTTCTGTTCATTTCACTTAGCATCAGTCCACACAGGTCTTTCCAGGTTTTTCTGAAGTCTGCCTGCTTATCATTTCTTTTAGCACAATAGTATTCCGTAACATTCATATACCACAACTTGTTCAGCTGTTCCCCAGTTGATGGGCATTCCCTCAATTTCCAATTCTTTGCGACCACAGAGAGAGCTGCAATAAGTATTTTTGTACATGTGGGTCCATTTCCCATTTTTATGATCTCTTATGATACAGCCCTAGAAGTGCTAATATTGATGGGTCAAAGGGTAAACACATTTTTATAGCCCTTTGGACATGGTTCCAAATTGCTCTCCAGAATGGTTGGATCATTTCACAACTCCACCAACAGTGCATTAGTGCTCTAATTTTCCCACATCTTCTCCAGCATTTATCATTTTCCTGTTTTGTCTTGTTGGCCAATCTGATAGGTGTGATGTGGTACCTCAGAGTTGTTTTGATTTGCGTTTCTCTAATCAATAGTGTTTTAGAGCATTTTTTCATATAACTATAGATGGCTTTCATTTCTTCATCTTAAGAACTGCCTGTTCCATCCTTTGACCATTTATCAGTTGGGA